TGAAGGCAGATGCCTCAGCACCTGAGCCTGGGCGTCCTACCTCCTCACGCCCTTCACAGTGTCTTTGGAGCAGTGGATAGCTTAACTTTGAATGAAGTCCGGTTTGTCCACATTTTTCTTTTACAGTTTGTGGGGTTTTGCCTCCTAAGAAATATTTGCCTAATCTGAGGTCACAGGGGTTGTCTCCTATGCTTTCTAGAAGTTTTACAGTTTAGGTTTTCTACTGAGTTTTTCCATCCGTTCTGAGCGCGTCGTTCCGTATGATACGGGGTATGGGTTGACGTTGACCATAGCGCGTGCGGACGGCCGCTAGCTCAGCACCGCTGTGAACGAGACCGTCCCTTCTGTGCGCAGTTCTCGCATCACCTTTGTCCAAGTCAGTTGACGCTGCGGGAGTTGGCTCACTTCCAGGGTGGCTTCTGTCCCACTGGTCCACGTCTGTCTCCTTTCACCAGAGAAGACCTTGGTGGCCTCATGTGCAGAGCAGGCATCCCTCTGAGCAGGGCAGCTTCTCCGCCTTTGTTCTTGTTTTAAAGTAGCGCTTGGGGGGAGTGCCTGGGGGCTCAGTCAGTCCAACGGCAGACTCTCGATCTCAGCTCACGTCTTGATCTCAGGCTTGTGAGGTCAGGCCCCGTGCTGGGCGTGGAGCCTCCTTGAAAAAAAATAAATAAAAAATGTTGCTTCGGTTATTCTACCTCCTGTGCATCTCCATGTAAATTTTGGAATTAGCTTGTTGGTTTTGCATGATTTTCTTAGGAATCGCACTGAGCCAGTAGGTTGCACGGAGAGATTTGCTGTTGAGGCTTCCGGTACGAGGTGTCTCAGTCCATGAACATGGTATGTGTCTTTGAGCTCGCTCAGGTCTTTCCGCACTTCCTCAGCAGCGTTCTGTCGTCGTGGGGGGGGGGGGGGGGCGTGTCTTGGACCTGTTGGTTGGATCCATTCTCAGAGAGTCGAGCTTTTGGCAGGCCTGTAGCTAGGATTCTGTGCTAAGTTTTACTTTCCGGTCGCCTACTGCTTATAAATAAGAATGCGGTTGACTTTCACGTATTAACCATGACCTGTTGCTAAATTTATTGATTCTGGTAAGTGATTTGTAGATTTATTAGGACTCGTAGAAATAAGTACATCGTCTGTGACTAGGGACAGTTTTATTTCTTCCTTTCAGTCTTCATGATCTTAGTTCTTCTCCTTGGCCTTATCAAATTGGCTGGGACCTTCAGTACAGTTTTGCGTAGAAGTGGTAAAAGCTCTAGGTTTTTTGCAGATGCCCTGTGCGAGTTTGAGGAAATTCCCTGCCATCCCTGATGTCTGTCCTACGTGTGACCATGGCATTGTAGTTTTATTAAAAGAAGTGGTAACTTTCACAGGCAAAAGCTGAAGTACTTATGAATGAAGTAGCGTAGTGTCTGCGGTCTGCTCCCGAGTGTCAGGGACTGGGTGCCACGCGGCGTCTGACGGAGGTGTCTGTTCCTGATAAGGGCTCTCGGGGCAGCAGGAGGCGCACGGCCTATCGTTTTCTCTTACTGTGGTGACGTTAACCTTGCCCACCTGGTCCATCACGTTTCTCTGAGGTATAGGCACTCTTTCCCCCCTTTTAATTAATAAATATCTTGGAAGAGATCCTTGGAGACCTTGCAACCATCCCATTTCTCCTTGGACTTTCACCCCCTGATTTTGGCGACCAGAGGTGGGTCTCACCTGCCATGACTGGTTATTGCTGTGTTCTTGAAGGGAGGTTCTCGGCTGGGGCTCTTCTCCATGGAGAGCCTGCTTTCCCACCCGCTTCCTCATTCCGTGAGCTGTGACCCACTACTGTGCCGTGGCATGCCCGCTGTTCCTGTGCTGGCTCTTTGGGGCTCTTTGTGCGTGCCCTGTCCCTTTGGCGTGCCCCCTCCTTCCTGAGCAGGCCTGTATGTTCCAGAACCGCAGCGCTCCACGTCACCTTGAGGTTCCCGTGTTCCCGACCTGCGAGTTGGCCACAGCTCTCAGCGGCTCTGGCTTCTTCTAGCGGAGAGGAGTTCATGCTGTTTGTCAGCACGGAGTGGTCTCCTCGCGGAGCTGTGAGAATTCCTGACGTGTTCCAGCCGTGAGCACCTGTGGGACGCGTAGAACGCGCCGCTCAGCTGGCTGTGCTCTTTAGCGCACCTTCAGGACTGGGAGTCTGGAGTGTATCTGTCCGTTCACATCCGTATCATGTCCGGGAAATCTTTGCCTGCCCAAGTCACAAAGGTGTTCTCCTTTGTTTTCTTCGAGAAGCTCCGTGGTTTCAGCCTTTGCGTCAGGGTTACGATGTTCCTGTGAGCCAGCTGCGGTTTATATTCGTGGGGTCGACATAAATTAAAAAGACTGTTTTCCCATCATGTTGTCTCGGTGCTTTTATCTGAGAGCCGTGTAAACGTTCACTGGCCTCTGTCCCGTGCGCTGGGTCAGCGTGTCTCTCCGTCCCTGTGCCAGCGCCAGTTCTGGTTACCGTAGACCTGCGGTGGGTCTCAGGATAAGGCCGTCAAGTCCTCTAGCGGTGCTCGTTGTAAAGCTTATGGAGGCTGGGAGCTCAGTCTTTGCGCTCCCGTCTCGGAGTCAGCTTGTCTGTTTCTCCCGGAGCCTCCTGGCATGTTCTAGGGTCGCTTCGAGGTGGCAGCTCGGTCCGGGGAAAGGGCTGTTTGAGTCTTCTGTTCTGTGAACATAGTTGCCTTTGGTTTGTTTCGTTTTCAGGTTTTCTCATGAGTGTTTTACAGTTTTCAATATAGAGGTCTTACAAATTTTTCATTAAAATTACCACTACAGGGGTGCCCACGTGGCTGAGTCAGGTAAGCGTCCAACTCTTGATTTGGGCTCAGGTCGTGATCTCAGGGTCGTGAGGTTGTGCCCCAGGTTGGGCTCCATATGGGGCAGGACTCTGCTTAGGATTCTCTCTCTCCCTCTTCCCCTGCCCCAGCCCTGCACGCACGTGCTACGTTCTCTCTCAAGTAAATAAATCTTTTTTTTTTTTTTAAGATTTTATTTATTTGACAGACAGAGATCACAAGCAGGCAGAAAGGCAGGCAGAGAGAGAGGGGGAAGCAGGCTCCCCGCTGAGCAGGGAGCCTGATGCGGGGCTCGATCCCAGGACCCTGAGACCATGACCTGAGCCGAAGTCAGAGGCTCAACCCACAGAGCCACCCAGGCGCCCCTCAAGTAAATAAATCTTAAAAAAAAAAAAAAAATCCCTAGATATTTATGTTTTACTGACATTTTAAATGGTATTTAAAAAATCGGTTTAAAAATTCTCTATTGCTGGTACATGCAGACAAAGCTCGTTTTTGCTCGCTGACCTCATGCCTTGTGGCCTTGCTCAATTCGTCTAAGTTCTAGAAGCTTCTGTGTAAATTCCTTAGGGTAGCCCATTTGTTAAATTGTGTGTCTGTGAACGATGCTTCTTTTCTAGTCTTTGTGCTGTCTGCCACGTGGTGCTGGCCAGGGCCCGTGGTGGAGTGTTGAAGGAGGTGTGGTGGCCAGCGTCCTCACCTGTCCCCCCACCTGGGAGCGGTCTGTCTGCGCCAGTAGTCCGCTGGTGTCCGCAGGAACTGTACCCTCCTGTCCCGTCGGGGTTCCTGACGGACGCTGTGTGTGCTGTCGAGCAGAGAGCTTACCGGAGAGAAGTGCTCGTGGGGCGGGAGGGTGGGGAGGACACTGATGCACTGGAGGGACCCTTGGGTGGGTGGACGCTTGGAGGTGGGCCCTGCCCAGCTGGCCCTGGTGACAGAGAGCAGAGGGGTCTTGTGGGGAGGGGCCGCAGGGTCTGGGCCAGGAGTGCCGCTCTGTGCACGTGTGTTTGGAGGTGGCAGCTGTGGCTTCCTGCTCCAGCGAGGGAGTCGGGCTCGCGGACGCAGGGGTGCAGGGACACAGGGAGTACCTCCCGTCCCCACCGATTGGAGCTGGCAGGGAGCCCACTGGCAGAGCAGAGACAGCAGGCATGCAGGCGGTGCCCCCCCCCCACGCCTCTTTCCACCTCTTGCTTCCTCGGGGTTTTTACCCTGCATGGGGCTTGGGTCTGGCTTGGGCGTTTTCTGTCTGCTGAGGTGATCCTATGACTTTCTGTTGACGAGGCAGGGGATGGTGGTTCGTTGCTGCGGTAAACTCCGCGTGGTGGGCGCATGCGGGCTTCGGGTCACACGTGCTCTTAGGGGGTTGTTTTTGGGGGCCCTCGTGGGGGCGTTGGTGGGTAGACTGCCTTTCTGTGCCGACTTTGTCTTTCCGAGGCCTTGTCTCCCTCTGGTTTCGGCATCAGGGTAATGCCGGCCTCATGCGACTGAACACGTCACTGCCCTGCTTCCCTGTATGTGCGGCAAGACCCCCGGCGATGCCAGTTGGACCCGGCTCTCCTGGCGGGAGGCGCTTGATCAGGGGGTCACAGTCTTCAGCAGGGTCCAGGCTGTCAAGACGTCCCCTTTCTCCTGGGGTCGGTTTTGCGTGTTCGTGTCTTTCCAGGAAGTCGCTCATTTCGTCTAAGTTGTCAGATCTCTCAGCCGAGCATTTTCCGCGACGTCCGCGGTGTTCTCCTGAACGTGTGGAGCGTTGACTCCTTTCTCAGGCTCTTTGTCGAGGTGGGATCAGGATCCAGCGAGGGTTAGGCCTTGGGACGGGCTGGCGTGTGTCTCTGTCCCTCTGCTCTGTCGGCTCCCCTCGTCTGCTGCTCGCCGCGCGCCTATGCAGCGGCCCGCTTGTCTGGGGCGCGGGGAGCTCATGCGGCGGCGCTGGCCGCCGGCCCCCCCGGGCCCACGGCACGTTCCGGGCTCTCTGCCTGGAGCGGCTGCTTCCCCAGCTCGTCCCGTGTGGCCCGTTGGCCCCAGGAGCCGACCACGCGGCTTCACGCGGCTTGTTCCCAAGCGATGCCTCCCTCTTCTCTTGTGCTCGTTGAGTTGAATAATGAGGATTTTTTTTTTAAATGTTTGGGGGTTGAGAGTGAAAAGTAGAGCATGAGACCAGTCGTCACCATTGGCTCCGCTCTTGTGTTTCAGGTGGGTCTGTGAGGAGATCCCGGACCTCAAGCTTGCTATGGAGAATTATGTTCTCATCGACTACGACACCAAAAGGTGAGCCGAGCCGCCTCTCCGCGACTGCTGGGGCCGTGGCCTCCGGTCGGCTCTTCTTCAACGGCGCGAGCTGGCCGGCGATTTCCTTTGGAGTTGGCTGTCGCCCCGTGGAGTTATTCTGGTAGGAAACGTTGATGAGATACTGGCAGAGGCTGTCCGAGCAGGGACGTGATTGGAAATGCCACATTGTGGAAACGGCGCTCAGCATGTGTGAAGTCAGCCCCACCGGCCGTGGGGGCTGCTCTCCCCGCGGCCGCCTGCCAGCGGCCAGTGCTCCAGCCCGAGGACGGTGCCTCTGCCGGGCCTCGTGCGGCCCATCCGGGTCTCGGGGGCTCAGGCCTCACTGCCCCTCCAGCCTCTGTGGCCCCTTCTCGTGGTTTCCTGCAGGCGCGTCCTGGATCTCAGAGCACAGTCGGGTGGGCGGGGAAGGGCGAGGCCGTGTCTGGAATGCCGTTTTGTTTCTCTGGCGGAAGGCGGGCTGGCGCTCCCTGCTCCCGCTGTAGTAGCTCTCGGCAGGCGTAGACCGGCTCCACAGTGTTCCCGAAAGGCGCGTGTCTTCTGTGGGCTTTGCTGGCTCGCTCTCGATCGGGAGCCCGGTCCAGAGGAGCCCTGGGGCCCCTCGCCCCGGCACCCAGGTGGTGCTGACCCAGTCTCAGCTCTGTGTTTGAAGGGCTTCGTGGTCTGCTCGTCAGCCCTGACCCCTTTCGCCCGGCAGGAGGCCTTGTTCTGCATCTAACGTTCGCCAAGCGCTGGGAAGGGAGTGAAGCGTGCTCACTCCTCCCTCCAGAGCAGCCCGGCCCCTGGGCAGTGGGGTGGCCCTGTGGGCTCCGGTGGTGTGTGTGCGGTGAGCAGTGAGGGCCCACACGGAGGGCTGGGGCGCGGCTCTCTTGCATCCAGGGTGCGGTGCACGCGGGGCTGAGCTGTGGACGTTAGCCAGTTGGCCAGGGGAGCTGGCCTTCAGTGATGGGTGGAGTGCTCTGTGCGGGCCCAGAGCAGCCCGTGCTTCTCAGGACAGCGTTGCTGCAAGATGTTTGCAGGGGCTGTTGGAGGCCCTTCCCCTCTGTACTCAGATGGCTCAGGAGAGCCCGGGCATGGCTGTGGAGGGCCAGGCCAAGGGTATCCAGCTAAGGGGCTGGTGTGGCTGTGGGGTCAGGCTCGTGGTGGGGGACCCTCATTTCTCTCCCAGGCAAGGCAGCAGCCGGGTGCCTGTGCACCGTCCCAGGGACGGGCCTCCTCTGGGGCCGGTTGGACCTCGGTGAACCCCAGGAAGTAAAATGACAAAGGGGTGCCTGGGTTTTCCTGTGAGGGCAGCACGAGAAACTAGGAGCCAGAGGTCTCGGATCTTTCATTTTGCAAATTAGGAGGGCGAAGGAGTGTCACTCAGATGCTGGGGCTGGGGACTGCCAGGTCCTGGTTCCCTGGGACCCCACCTGGCCCGGCACTTAGTGGGGGAGAGGGTAGAGTGTCTGGCCCATGTCCATGGCCCATGTCCGTGGCCCGTGTCTGTGGCCCGCCGCTCCGAAGAGGGGCAGAGCCTATTGTTGCTCTTGGGCTCCTGAGTTCGCTGCATTAGCCCAGGGGCGGCTTGGTCACTGTCCTTCTTGAGGACGCCTCAGGCCTGGGTAGGGCCTGGTCTTCCCGCTCGTTCTCTGTTTCTCTTGCTTGTCCACTGCGGCTGTCCTACGGGGGACCTCGGCCTTGCCGTCAGGGAACCAGCTTCGTTGAATTGTTTAATTTCTGTCCTAAAGGAAGGGGGTGTGTGAGCTCTTGGGGTGAATCTGGCAGTCCATGAGGATGTGGGGGGCAGTGGGGCGGGCAGCGTGGGGTACACACGGCGTGGTCGTGGCCCGTGTGCAGAGGGACCTCTCCCAGGCTCCTGGTGTCCAGCTCAGGGAGGAAGGCTCCTTGCTGCTGTGTGTGTGCGCAGGTGTTACGGACGGAGCCCCCCGGCTGACACCCCCTCCAGTGCAGCACAGACACGGGAGCCCCCTGCCCCCTGCACCTCCTCCATCAGGCCGTTCTCTGCGGAGCGTCCGGGCAGCATCCCTGGACCTGCCCCTTCGAATGCCAGGAGCACCCCAGGATGTCCCCAGACATTGTACCGTGGCCCCTGGAGGCCGAGTCAGTCCCGGGGGGACCTCCCGGGTCAGGGGATCATTGAGAGTCCTACCTGGAGTGAGCACGGGGGCTTGGGAGGGTGCAGCCTCGTTGAACAACCCCAGGCAGACTCTTGGCACCTCACGGGTGCCGCTTCCATCTTTGAAAGTGTTGGGGTCTTCTTCTGGGAGAGCCAGGGGGCCTTCTGCCACTGGGTGCCCCCCATGCCCATCAAGCTGGGGCTGAGATGGAGGCTCCCTCTAGCCCGGGAAGGAAATAAGGCCCTTGTGCACTGCCCTGGGGCAGCGGGCCCAGCTTGGGGACAGGTAGGGTGTGCGTCCGGCCAGCTCCCAGCCGCGGTGCATCATGAAAGCTGTGCAGAGTCGCTTCTCTCACCTAACACCTGCCAGGCACACCGTTGACCTTGGCTTTGACCTGTGAGCCCTGACCTCCGGAGGCTGCCACGTAGCCAAAGACTGCCTCAGTGTGACCCTGGGCCCAGCCTTGTTGGCCACATATGGTTCTCCTTGGTGTCCTGTGACTGTGCCTCCTTACTGGGGATGGCTGGCGCCGCCTGTCCAGGAGCCGTCTCTCCCAAGAGGCCCCTGTGGCATGTGCTGGGCTCCACAGCGACTGGCGTCTTGCCCTTGCCTTTCAGCTTCGAAAGCATGCAGAGGCTCTGTGACAAGTACAACCGTGCCATCGACAGCATCCACCAGCTGGTAGGTGGCCTCTGCCCTCCCCTCATGTGCATCTGCTCGCCGGGGACCCGTGCGGGGGTGTTCGACCCACTGCCCCTCACATTTCCTGGGTGCTTGTCACATACGCCTTGTAGACCCCTGCAGACCGCCCTGGAGTGCAGGGGTGTGGCGTGGGGCCGGCCTTTGCTGGGACTGGGCTGGGGGTCGGGTGCGTCCTCAGCCCCCGTCCCCCCGCGTGTTGGTGCTCCCCGCATGCTGGTGCCCCCCACCGGGTCTCCCATGCAGACAGACCTTCATGTCGGCGCCCTGCCCCACGGGCGCCCTCAGCCGGCTGTGTCGTGAGCGCGTTCCTGCCGTCCCTCTGGGATATTCCAATTATGGAGAGGCCTGGGGCTCTGTCCACACCTCCCCCTGCCACCATGCTGCGGCCTGCGGAGCCCTTGCCTGGCGAAGAACAGACAGTGGGGCCAGGCCAGGCTGCCAGAGTGGTTCTGGAAAGCGCGTCCCTGCTGCGTCTGCGGACGCTCGCTGTCTGGGCAGCGCGGGCTCCTGCTGGGTTCGGGTTCTTGTGCAGGAGCCTTGCCGTCGGGGAGGCTGTGGTGGGCTGTCGGGCCCGCAGCTCCGAGGGCCTAGCGTGCGCGGGCGGGGGCTCTGGCTGCCGACCGCCTCACTGTTGCAGCCAGGAGGGGAGGGGCTGCTGGATTGGTCTCCTGGTAAGGACTGGGGCTCGGGGAAGTTCTGTGTCAGCTGTGTGGGCGCCCTCCCACTGCCTTGGCCCAGAGCTCTCCCCTCGGTTTTGTCCCTGGCAGGAGGTGACAAGAGGCTTGGGGCTGACCTGGGCCACTCATGGCGGGCGTGTGGCCTCTCGGGGGCTGCGTGGTGGTGGCTTGGCCCCCAATTGGGAAGGCCCTCAGGAGCGGGCGGTTCCGCGGTCACGGGCCGCAGGTAGCCCAAGGGGGCGGACCATGAGGGGTCAGGGCTCCGTGGTTCCCTGGGGCTGGGAGCCTGAGGACTCCCTCCTCGGGCCAGCGGGAGCTGCACGGGTGCAGGCCCAGTTCTGGCCCCTGAGGCCCCTGACGTGGACCCACCAGGCGCTGGCTCTTTCCATGACCATTTCTTTTCCCAGATGGGCTTTCAGGTGAAGGTGCAGCTCTGAGGCCGACGACCTCTGCTGTCTGGGGAGGCGGCAGGGCTGGGGCCGGGATGCACGGTTGTTATGCGGGGCGGGGGCCACCCGTGTCACGCATGTGGGGCTTTCTGTGCTGTCCTAGTGGAAGGGGACCACGCAGCCCATGAAGCTGAACACACGGCCATCCAACGGGCTCCTGCGGCACATCCTGCAGCAGGTCTACAACCACTCGGTGACGGACCCCGAGAAGCTCAACAACTACGAGCCCTTCTCCCCGGAGGTGTACGGGGAGACCTCCTTTGACTTGGTCGCTCAGATGATCGACGAGATCAAGATGACTGAGGACGACCTGTTTGTGGACCTGGGCAGTGGTGAGTGTGGGCAGGCCGTGACGTCAGCGCCACCAGCCTCCCTGGTCCCTAGAGATGGAGCAGCCTGGGTCACCCGCAGCCCCTCGCGGGGGGCGGCCCCTCTCTGCGGCCAGCCGGTGCTCTGCACCGAGGAGAGGCCAGGCCGCCGTGCTCCCAAGGGCCCCTCCCTCTCCCTCACCCCTCCTAGCCCTGGGGGACCTGTTCTTGGGACCTGTTCAGAGGGGACCCCAGTGACCACCGCAGACCAGCCCCCCATGTGGCTGGGTGTCCTCACCCCTTCCCCACACTCCCCAGCTCTCACTAGCCCCCCGCCTCTTTTGTGCATTGGGGGGCCCCCGGCACCAACACGGAGGGTCCTGAGGGTAGGCCTGTCCTCAGCGTGGCCTAGCAGGCGTCCACGTGAAGAGCCGTGGACAGAGCGGGACGAACGCACACCTCGGGTTGGCTGGATCCAGATGGGACATGTTCGGTGACAGGGCTGGCGATGGGGCTGGCTGTCAGCCTGCGTGGGAGCCCCGTGCACAGCCCTCCTCTGGGTCAGCCAGCCACCTGGGTGGGACCACGTTTGGACACAGAGCCTTGTGCCGCAGACTGAATGTCCTTCTCAAACCAGTGCGGCCTCAGCCCTTGCAGACGGCCCAGCGCCCCGGGCAAGGACGACTCTTTTCACGTCATCATTAGTGTGGACCTCTTTAAGCACACAGTTCGTGTTTTACTTATTTATTTGAAGATTTTATTTATTTGACAGAGAGCGTAAGCAGCAGAGCAGCAGGCAGAGGGAGAGGGGAAGCAGGCTTCCTGCTGAGCATGGAGCCCGACATGGGACTCAATCCCACCGGAGCCGGAGGCAGCTCCTTAACCAACTGAGGCGCCCAGGCGCCCCCACAGTTCATATTTTACTAAGAACATGTGTACTTTCAGGGGCTCCTGGGCGGCTCACTCAGTCGAGGGTCCAACTCTTGGTTTCAGCTCAGGTTGTGATCTCAGGGTCGTGAGATCGAGCCCCACTGCAGCTTCCATGCTGAGCAGGAGTCTGCTTGAGACTGTCTCCCTCTGTCCCTCTGCCCTTCTTGCTCGTGCATGTGGACGCGCTGGCTCTCAAAAAAAAAAAAATTCGTAGGCTTCAAAAGTTAGTTGTCTAGAAGGCCACAGAACTTACCTGTGTGTGTGAAAAGGTTTGGGAGTTTTGGAAAACCCCTTCCTGGCTCCTCGTGCCCAGCTCTTAACCCTGGCCATGACCCTTGTGTCCTCTTGCCATGGGCCTTGCCATTTACCCTGTGTTTCTAAGTAGTGGGCCTATTTTCTTATTTTTCTTTCTTTAAGATTTTTTACTTAGGGCCCCTGGGTGGCTCAGTGGGTGGAGCCTCTGCCTTCAGCTCAGGTCCTGGGATCGAGCCCCATGTCAGGTGCTCTGCTCAGCGGGGAGCCTGCTTCCCCCTCTCTCTCTGCCTGCCTCTCTGCCTACTTGCAATCTCTGCCTGTCAAATAAATAAATGAATAAATAAATTAATAAGTAAAATAAAGATTTTTTACTTAGGTAATTTCCACCCCCAGCGTGGGGCTTGAACTCCTGACCCTGAGACAGAGAGTCACGCGCTGTACCACACAAGCCGGCCGGCGCTCGGTTGCTTCTTTACATTTTCCAAACCTATTCCATTCAGAGCATGAGCTCAGAAGGCTCCTGGCTCGCTGGCTGAGAGGCACGACTGACCCAAGTAGGAGGGGGACCGTGGGCCAGGCTTCCGGGCGCATGTGAGGTCTGAGCGCCCTGCGCTGCCCAGCTGGGCTTGGTGGTGCGTTTGGCCAGCGCGTGGCCGTGGTTTGGAGACCCCGTTTCTGGTGTGCGGGGGCTGCTCCCGCTGCTCCGCTGCGCATCAAGCCCCGTTGACACCGAGTGGTGGTGGGTGTTCCCAGTGGTTTCAGATGGGCCGGCCGTGCCGCGCTGTGGCAGTGACTGGGGAACCTTCCAGAGGGAGACACAGCGCAGGTTTCCCTCGCAGGAGCCCTGCTGTGCTGTCTGTAGGAGGCAGCGTAGGCCAGACGGCCGACCCCCTAGTGGGGCCTTGGCTCACGGCCTGGGTCAGTGGCATATCCTGGTGACCTTGGAGGTGCTCGCACCTTCTCGGAGAGCTGGTGGCCTCTGCCTCTTCACCCCTGTGGCCAGCACCTGTGTGGCCTGGGCCTCGACGCTGGGTGGGTGGCGCCTCTGTCTAAGGGCCGTGTCTTGACTGTCCCTCCCTCCCTCTGAAGGAGTGGGCCAGGTCGTGCTACAGGTCGCCGCGGCCACCAACTGCAAGCATCACTACGGCGTGGAGAAAGCGGACATCCCAGCCAAGTACGCGGAGGTGAGTGCCTCCGGAGTGGGGCGCAGGTGTATGTGCTCACCTCTCTTTTCTCCCCAACCTTTGCTGTGACCCACAGGGTATAAGGAGGGAAGGACAGCAGGAGGTGGGCGTTCCGAGGGGCTACTTGGTCTCTGCCCGCACATCTGGGCCCAGTGCGTGTGCCGCCAGCAAGGGCCACAGCTTTGTCTACCCCAGGCTGGGCCCGTCTCCAGACGCACCCCGGGTCAGCAGGCATCCCCTAGGTGCCCGTGTCCGCCTGGGGTGGGGTCAGTGGGGTTTGGGGCGTAGGTGCGTGTCCAGAGACGCCTTTAGACTGTGTGGCCCACACATCTGGTGGACTCCACAGGTCCTGCGGTCTGTCCTCCCCTGCAACCCCCAGAGTCACCCGGGCTGCTTCTCAGAGGGGCTGGGCTGTGGGCTGGCAGAGGGGCAGTCCCGGCTTGTCCTGGGGGAGGCAGGTAGGGGTGGCAGGAGCGGCTGACGGGCTGTCGGATCATTCCCTTGCAGACCATGGACCGAGAGTTCAGGAAGTGGATGAAATGGTATGGAAAAAAGCATGCAGAATACACAGTGAGTGCCAGCGCCCCGGCCGCGGCTAACGGTCCAGCTCCGTCCCTGCGCCTCCTCCTCCCTGACCCGCCGTTCTACCCTGCTGGTCCTCGCCTGGCGTGTGGTGCTGGCGGAGGGCTGCCCGGCCTCACGAGGGCCTTCCTCCTCGGCCCTCTCGGTCCTCCTCGGGGGCTGCCGCTGCTCCTGCCCCGGGCGCTCTGAGAACGGGTGGCAGGGGGCCCTCTCCTGCAGCCTCAGCCACGCGAAGGCAGTTGCGGGCATCGTGTCCCTGGGCACCCGGCGGGTCTCAGGGAGCCCTCCTTGGTGTCGTGCACGTGTGTGTCACGGCCGTGGTGCGGGTCTGGGCAGCGGGGTGTGGACAAGAAGGCCTCTTCCCTGGTCCACCGGCTGGCTCCGTGGCGTCCTCTCCATTGCCTTCTGGTAGCACATGACCCCACCGGTGAGTCCGTCCTCCTGGCAAGGCTCGGGGTCGGGCCGCATGCCCCCAGCTCCCCGGGCCGCTCCTGCACCTTGGCCTCCATGGCTTGCGCCAGGCTTATGAGCCCCACGTTTTCTGGCTGGCCAGGGTTCTAGAGCCCTGGCCTCTGTCTGCCCCCGTCCGGGGCTCCTGCATCACGCCCTGAAACACGTGTGTGGGCCCGGGCTCGTCCCTTGCTCCCTCTTTCACTGTGGACACACTGCAGCCGCGTAGCCTGCAGCCACGTGGCCACTGCGGGGACACCGTGGACAGAGTGTGTCCCAAACAGACCTTTAACTCCTCCTCCTCCCATCCCGGGTCCAATGTGCGCGCCCAGACCCCCGAGCCTGCGCTCGGCTCCGCGGCCAGCCCCGTTGCTCTCCTTCCCAGGGTCTCTTGCGAGTGTTCATGTCTTGCCCTCTCGGTCCCCAGCCCAGAGCACGCCATCTGCGGGTGTTGACTGCTGAGCGGAGACCGGTGTCCTGGTCGTGTCACATGGCCATGGGCTGGCGCTCGGTTGGGGTGTGGGGAGAAGGGGAAGGGGAGGTTTCCTCTTCCTTAGGCCGGCCTGATGGCTTCTCCTTCCGTGGGTCGTCCCTGCGCTGTCGTGTTGCAAAGTCATCGCCAGACCCGCGGTCACCCGCGTTTGCTCCTTGGTGTCTTCCGGTGGCTGTTTTATGAGTAGGGCCGTGAGGCTGAGGTTGGCACCTGGATCCTTTCCTTTTGCATGTGGAGGCCCCGCAGTTTCAGCCCTGTGCTTGCAGGCTCCGCCCTCGCGCATGTCTGTCCATCTGTGCTGTCTCCGCTGCCGTGGCTCTGTCTGTCCGTCTGTGCCGTCTCCGCTGCCGTGGCTCTGTCCATCTGTGCCGTCTCCGCTGCCGTGGCTCTGTCTGTCCGTCTGTGCCGTCTCCGCTGCCGTGGCTCTGTCTGTCCGTCTGTGCCGTCTCTGCTGCCGTGGCTCTGTAGTGAGTCTACTCGGGCGCCGTCCACCTGTCTCCTGACCTGGCTCTCCTTCCGTGCTGTGTCGCTGACTCTGGGGCTTTCCCGTCCCCAGATAAGCCATGGGGTCGGCACGCGGTCAGTGAGTGCGGTCCACCTCAGAGGGCAGGGCGGGGGGCGGCCGGCTGGAGTCTGCGCCGGTGCGTGGGGACAGCTCACGTCCGGACAGGGTCGTGTCTCCCTGCCTCCGACGTTGCCTGCCCTCCCTCACCGACGTCGGTCGCCAGGCTTTTGTAGTCTGCCTCCTGTAGATCTCATACACATTTTGTGAGCGTTACGTAGAAGTCTGTCTGTCTGTCTTGGTGCGTGTATCAACAGTACTGGCTTTTTAATTTCAAATCCACGTGTCAGTTGCTGGTTCGTAGGAAGGCAGTCGGCGTCTGCCGCGTGTTCGCGTACGACAACGCCTCTGCCGTAGAGTGGTGTTGTAGTGGCTTATCAGCTCCCCGTGTGCTTTTCTGAATTCATTCAGATTTTCTGCGCGGATGATCGCGTCATCTGCGAACAGATGTGGTGTCACATATCCTTCCCGGTCTGTGTGTGTGTTATTTCTCCTGTCTGTTGCACAAGCCGGTGTAACATTGGTATGGCCAGGACGCTTGCGAGGGACCCGTGGCCTGTTCCCGAGCTTCCTGGAAAGCAGCGACTTTCCCATCACGGAGGGGACGTGAGTTGGCAGGTGTTTTGTGGGCGCTCCGGACCGAGCAGACACGTTTCCTCTCCGTTCTTGCTTGGCTGGGAATCCTCACCATGCACGGCATTGGCGTCTGTTAAATGCCTTTCCCGAGTGTGTTGACGCATCCCTGTCGGTGTGGCGAGCGCAGGTGTCCTCCGTGGCTGGGGGTCCTGCCCGGTCGTGGCGTGGCTGGTTTTCACACCGTGCGGGATTTCCGCTCCGCACCTGCGTTGTGGGGAGCACTTGCGTCGGCGTCCCCCAGAGGTCGCGGCCGGGAGCTCTCCTTCCCTGTGATGTCCTCGGGTGCGGGGTGCTGGCCCCGTGGGGGCGGAGGTGTGCCCTCTGCTTCTGTTCTGCATTTCTGGGCCAGGACGTGCGCAGGCATGGTGGGTCCTGGCTTCTCTTCCCTGCGTCCTGGTGCAGTTTCTTCTGGAACTCTCCGCCCCGCACCTGCAGCTCCCGGGGTCAGCCGCTTGGGCTGAACCTGCAGAAGTCCAGTGCGTGTCCATTTCCAGGAACTTCTTCCCACATCTCCTCTGCAGACTGCAGCCCTGGGCGGACTTGCTGAGACGCGGGATTTTGTGTCTTCAAGGGCTTCTCGTTTCTGGTGAGGGCACCACGTCCTGAGGAGCAGTCCCCGGTGCGGTCAGCGCGGCCCGCTCACAGCCTCGGGCAGCTCCTGGGGGCGGGGGCCAGGGCCGGGCCAGGCTGGGCCACTGCCTGCTGCTCCTCCCGCCTGCCTCCTTCCCTCTCTTGGCTCAGTGCGGGGTCAGTGGTTGGCACACGGGTGGACAGGAGGGGCTGCCCTCATTCCTCGGGTCCGGCATGGGGCAGAGCGCTCGCTGGCCCCGCCGCGGCCCCTGCGGGGTGGCTGCAAATGGAATTTGGCTCAGAGGACACTCGGGCACACCCTTGGCCGTGGGTGTGTGGAGGAGGCTGGCCGAGCCCCTGCTGTTTGTTGTCTCTTTCCAGAGGGCATTCTGTAGCGCCGGCCCCGCGGCTGTGGGAGCGTGTGGTGACGGGAGCGCCCACGTTTGGCGGGAACTTGTGTCCCGGGTCTGTGAGGCCTTCCCAGACGCTTTCTGTGGCTTTGACCAGGCATCCTCGTTGGCGGACGGACAGTCCTGCTCCCGTTGCTTAAGAACCTAAGAGGAAGCAGCCAACAGGAGTCTAAAAATAGCTCCGTGTGCTCTTCCAAGCCCCAGAGCCTGCTTCTGCGGGCCAAGGCTCCCCGTGTGGCCACCGCCTGCTCTGTCCCCTCCCGCCTCCGCAGAGGTCCCCCCAGGCTCCACCTACCAGCCTCGGCCGCGCCTCCCTGTCCTGCAGCCCGTGGTGCCTGGCACCAGGCCCTCCCTGCCACCCACGTGCCTCCTCCCGTCAGAACCCCCGTGCCCCCCTCCTTCCCTTGGCTTCTGCCTGCGGGTCTGGCTCAGCGCAGGGTGCCCTGTCCACCTGGGAGACACTCTGTCCGGCTCCCTGCCCAGGCAGACGTCCAGGCCCCCAGAGGCCCCTTAACACAGTAGCCAGGCTGTTCACTATGAGCCCCGTACGCTGTGGGCACCTGGCAGTGGGCTTGGCCCACAGCGGGTTGCAGGCATCGAGAGTGTGTCAGCTGGGGTGGCTGTGGCCTCGTGGAGGTGCCACGGCAGGGAGGGTGTCGCAGACCGGCCTGTGCCGAGGTGCTTCCTACACTCAGGCCGCTCTCTCCAGGACATGTGCAGGGCCTTCCCCTGGGCACCTGCCACCCCTCCAGCTTTGTCAATGTCACGACGGTGTGCGTGTGGCCCTTGGGGTGGCTGGCCACGTCCGCTGGGGCCCCCTGCATCTCAGACTTGTTGGCCCACCTCCCCTTTGGTCTTGGGCTGTGTTGGGTCACCGGCAGGCTGGCGCTGCCAGGAGACGGGGCCTGGTGGTTCGGCCGAGCCGCGCTGCGTCTGTGGGCTTGGGGCTGCTCCTGGGTGGGTGCGCCGAGTGCTGGGGCCTGCCCGTTGCCCCCTGACTCTGGCTGGGGCAGACTTCGGTCTCTTCATGCTCAGACGCTGGGCTCTTTTCCCGCGACGAGAGCATGTGTGCTTGGTGTGAGGATGTGTGCGGCCTCCAGGAGCATGTCTGGGGCGAGCTGTGGGGCTGAGGGGCCCAGGCACCTGCCTGCCGGCCCGGGGTCTCCGCCAGGGGTGGTCACGGGCTCCGACACCCTCTGCGCCAGTGCGTGCCCAGGACCTTCTCCGTGCTTCCCATTCTGTCACGCGTGGAGGTCTGCCTGACCCTGGGGCCATTCACGGGGTCCCAGAGCAGGGGCACAGGAAGGCCACACACACCTTTCCAGCAGCACAGCCGCTGCAGCCAGCCCCTTTCTTCTGAGGGTCACAGCCCGCCTGTGCCCAGAGCAGAGCCACGGGAGGGCCGGGCGAGCAGAGCCCGAGCCAGCGGCCGTTCTCTGGCCTCAACCCAGCAGAGCTGCTCCGGCCTGAGACTGCGCGGCCTGGACAGGGAGCCGCCAAGGAGAGGAGGGCCGCCTGGAGAAGTGCCTGAAGGCATCTGTGTCTGTCCCAGGCCCAGGTGCGGGGATGTGCCGGGAGGACCCCAGGGCCCAGCAGGCGGTCGTCCCCAGGGCCGTGGTTTATACAGAGGACAGGAAGCAAAATGAGCTCAGGTTGGGGGTGTGGGGGGCGGGGACACTAGGCGGGAGCTTCCAGAGCCCACTCTCAGGGTGTCCCACAGGACACGCTTAGTTTCCCCCAAACGAGACAGCACCGTGCGTGTGTGCTGTGGTCTCCGGGGGCTGGCAGAGACCCAGCGCCCTGGTTCTCTGCGGGGTTGGTCTCGCAGGCCCGTCTGCCCGGCTCAGGACGGGAACCCCGTTTTGGGGGGGGGGGAGCAGGTGCTTAGCCCGAGCCTCGTGTCCGCACGGACGGTTCAGGAACCGGAGCCCCCCAGCAGTGAGGCTGGCCAGAGCCCACAGTCCGGTTCCAGACGCTGCGGAGGGCCAGCCTCGCGAGCCGGCCGGTGGGGAGGGAGGGCTCCGGCCCTCCGTGCGAGCTCTCTCTTACGTACGCTGCAGACTCGAGTCACTCCCGTGGCCTGGCAGGACTGTTCTCGGGAGTGTGGCAGATTTAGGAAGTTCCACAGGCGGGGAGAGGATTCAGAGTTGGGACAGCTGGGGTGTGGGCAGCCCCCCACAATGCCCGAACACGCTCGGGTGGTCCATCCCCTCTCCCCACCCCTGCGCCCTGTGTGAACACGTCATGCCCACCACAGGATAGCCTGGGTGGTCTGCACCTGTACTGTGGGTCGTAGGATGGGCTCCCGGCCTCTGCCCTGGGTCAGCGGTGCTCACTGGAGACTGGGTTGTCTCTGCTCAGGGGCTTCTGTCTATTTCTGAGCGACAGCAGGCCCAGTGCCCTGATGGGCTCCTGCTGTCTTCGTGAAGGAAGTGGGGGTTCCTGGTCACCTTGCGGCATGCATGAGGGTGTAGGTGAGGCCAGTCACTGGCCCCACCCTCCCCCAGCCCCCGGCCCCCGTGAGCCCCGTTCCCGTCCATGGAGGAGCCTGGTCTGGACGTGTCACATATGTGGACTCACACCCCGTGTGGCCTCCTGTGTCTGGTTCCCTCCCTGTGCGTTATGGGCTCGGGGTCCGTCTCTGGGGCAGCGTGTGGGCTCTTGGCTCCTGTCTGCGGCCGGGGGTCGCTCCTGCGTGTGGGGGATGCGCTGATGGGCGTCTCTGTTGTCTGCTCTTCTGAATCCGGCCACTGAGACCGGGCGGGTGCAGGCTTTGCAGGGACACATGGTCTTGCTTCTCGGCGTATGCTGAGGTGCAGTGCGATTGTGTTTTAAAGAATGATAAAATCAGGCATGTAGGTTTGCTGAATGCCCCAGCTTGGGGTACCTTGGTCACTAAGAACCGTGTGCTCTTGGAGGCCCCGTGTTAGTGTGCTGGGCCCCGCCATGCAGAGAGCAGGTGTGGAAAATGAGTGAGCCACGGGAGGCCGGGGCCCGCCGCCGTGCCCGCACGTCTGTGGTACAGAAAGCAGGCCTGGCCTCTGCTGCGTGCTAGGCCGGTGCTCTGTCCTGGTGTCGCTCGGTGCATAGGTGCCTCCTGAGGGCACGACCACTGTTCCCTGTGGTAGCCCCGGCCGGCCAGCCCACTCTTGTCCGGAACTGCCGGCAGGCTGGGAACCACGTGTGGCTGCGTCCCCAGCTGGCTCTGTGTGGCTCCATGGTGCGTCCTCTGCTGGGGCTGGACCCTCCCTGAGCCGCCGCCGCCCCGGTCCCATATCCTCCCCATGTCAGTGACTGCGCTCATCTCCTGTTCTCCACGCGGGCGGGCGGGGCGCGAAGCCGGCCGAGGCCTCCCGAGTCAGCCTCTCCCCTGTTCTCTTCCTTTCAGCTGGAAAGGGGCGACTTCCTCTCAGAAGAGTGGAGAGAACGGATTGCCAACACAAGGTAGGGCCCGACCGGGCGAGTGCCCCCGGGGAGGGTGCGTGGCTGGCGGAGCTCCTTCTCTCCCCGTCCCTGCCGAGCAGGTGGTCCGGGAGCTGGACCCAGGGCCCCAGGGCAAGGCCAGGTGTGGCTCAAGGCCTGCACGTGCCAGTCCCCTGGCTGCCCGTCAGGAAGGGCCCTTCCCCGCCATCTCGGCCCCGTGCTCAGCGTGCGGGCTCTTTCTGTGTCCACACCTCCCCAAGCTGGGTGCGGGGCCGGGCTTCTTTGCACCCGCTGCGGAACGGCGTCCTGTCCCCCACGGCTGAGCTGCTGGCGGTTTTGCCCCACCTCCCTCTAGCCCTGCCCCAGGCCTTGGGCTGGGGCACAGAAGTCAGCTGCTGGAGCCTGCTGGGAGCCCGGGACCCGAGGGGCATTGCACACCCAGAGCCGTCTTCCTGGGGACGAGTCAGCGTTGTTGATGGTGGCCCACTGTTTTGGGAGACCCTGCCATCTGGCCTCTCCCTGTCTTTCCTTCAGGCGCATACTGCCTGTTGCCCCATAGTCCCCACCGTCTGAGTCCTGGGGGCTGGTAGAAGCTGGGTGCCACTCTTTCCAGGGGGCCTCCGTTTGTGGCTGTCCCACAAGAAGTTCTCATCGGAAGGGTCTGCGCTGCTCTCCCCTACTGGCCGGGTCTTCCCCCTCTTCCTGAGAGACTTGTGCTGACTCCGTGGGCACCCCCATCCATGGGGGCCTGGGGGCCCTCCAGTGCTGGGCACTGGCCAGCAGTATCTGGGCCGAGGTGTCCCATGTTGTGGTCACGGGGACGGCACTGTCCCCCGGGCCTTGTCTGCCCCTCGTACTGCAGGCAGAATGGGAACAGGCCTTGGTGATGGGAGAGTGGCCCCTTGACGTCCCCCTAGGTGCTCTGCTTCCTGGCAGGGGTATCCCCTCCCCTCCCAGCCCCTTTCTTGTTGGGGACATGCGTCCATGCTTCTGACTTCTCGTGCATGGGATGGGAGGGAGTGGCTGCCTTCAGGGCACCCTTCTTCCATCAGAGCTATTGCCAGAGCCTTTGCTGGCTCACGTCCTGCCTTCCCAGGCTTCGTCCCCAACTAGGGACTGGGACAGGCCAGGCTCGCGCCCTGTGAGAGCTTGTTCTCTTGGCTGTCTTGTCAGGGCTCTGTCCCTTGGCTCCCAAGGACGCCTGGGCCCCAGCCTAACGCCTCCCGTCCTTGTCTTTTCTGTGCGGGGCTCAGGGAGAGCGCACTGGGCTTGCTGCGCGTCTGTACGGTTTCTTCCCTGCCGCTCTGCCCGTTGGCACCCGGGGTTTGTTCTCGCTGTGCTCGGGTCTTCCGTGGCTGTTCTGTTACCTGGTTGCTCTGCTTCCAGGCATCTCGATTTTAACTGTCGAGACTCAAAACGAGCAGCGAGGGGATGGCTAGCATCAGCCCAGTGTGTCTTCTGTCCCTTTCAAGAGAGGAAGTAAATGTGCGTCTGCCCCCGGCTCAGATTTTATCTGGAGGCACTTCCGTGGGGGAGGAGAGCCCCCCAGCTGAGTCCGGAGCTGTTTCACCTGCGGGGCTGGACGTGAGCCAGCGCTCGGCTGCTCATGGCCATTCAGAGAGGGCCTCGGGCGGGCACGAGCTGGGCCCAGGCAGGCGGGCAGGGGTGCATCGCTGCACACGCAGTGTGAGGCGGCAGCGTCCCCAGCCGCCCCGGCTGGTGTATTCAGACCAGGGCCCCGGGTGGTCCGGTGCCAGAGCGCGTGGGCGGGCGGCGGAGGACTCTGCCTCTGGTCCCTCCGGTCCTCAGGCGGCTCCTTTCAGATGCCGCCGGATGCTGTCCGCACGCCCTCCTGCCCGGGTGTCCTCACACCTCCGTCCCCAGGTGATGCGTGTGCGGTCTGCACTCCCACCCTGGGGGTGTCCCGGGGGCGGGCGGGGACCGCCCCCCACCAGCCAGCCTGCTCGTCCTCGGCGCCCTGCGGGTCCCGTCCCGGGCTGGGGGAGCCGGCGGTGGAGGCGGTAGGCGTGGCGCGCCGGAGCCTCGGCCTCACTCAACTGGAACATTGTTTTGCAGTGTTATATTTGTGAATAACTTTGCCTTTGGTCCTGAGGTGGATCACCAGCTGAAGGAGCGGTTTGCCAACATGAAGGAAGGTAACGCACTCTCCCCGCAACCCCGCCCTGTCGCGGTCCCTGTGTGCGCGCGGCGCCCGAGGCCCGCTCCGTCCGTCTGTGGAGCTGGCTGTGACCGCGGGCGCGGCCAGGTCCGTGCTGACTGCCCCCACGTGCGGGCTCCGCGGACGGCACCTCTGGGCCCGGGGGACATGGTGGGGCCGACCGGGCCTCCCCAGGCGGATTGGGCCAGCGGGCCCGGGGGCCTTGGGGTGGGGGCCCGGCTTGCCAGCGGGCTACACACTGCAGTCATGCTCACGTGTCCTGGAGGTGACGAGTAACTTCTCGGTGCGCGCTCATGCTGAAGGGTTACTCACTGAGGGTCTGAAGTTCGGGCTCGACCTGTGACCCCAACCCGGGGGCAGTCGGGCCAGGGGGCTCGTCCCGACAGCCCTCTTAGGCTCTCCGGGTTTTCCCTGTGTTTGGGCCCCGGTTGCCCTCGTCTGCCTTCCCGTTCCCGGTGGGGAGGGGAAGGCCCCCTTGCCGTGCATCTGTCTCGGACTCGACGGCCTGTGTTCTTGCTTGAGTTGGTTGGCGTGTAGGTGGGATTGCATTTTCTTTTTTTAAAGAATTTCTTTTTAAGACTTTTTATTTATTTGACAGAGATAGCGAGAGAGAGCACACAAGCAGGGCAGAGAGAGGGAGAAGCAGGCTTCCCGCTGAGCAGGGAGCCCGATGCGGGGCTCGATCCCAGGACCCTGAGATCATGACCTGAGCCGAAGGCAAATGCCCAACCACTGAGCCACCCCGGCGCTGCAGGGTTGCGTTTTCTTTGTGCTCATGGAGGCTTCCAGAATTGGAATTGTGTGGGTGCACGTGTGGAGTGAGGTCCTCTACTCTATCTGGCCCGAACCTTCTAGGGAAAACTTCTGAATCTTGGCAAGCAGAGACAGGAGGCCGTCATGCGGGGGGCAGCCTCCCGGCTGGACTCCTTCCAGGGAAGCCCTCTGCTCCCTGGCTCCTCCCACGGCCTGGGGTGCACCTGAGGGTGCACAAGCCCTCTGCGCCAGGGGTGTGTGGGCCCCACGCCCCGTGCCCGCAGCCACCCTGCCAACGCTGGCCGCGGGAGGAGCTCCCTCCAGCTCTGTCTTAGGCAGCGCAGGTCAGGTGTCACCTTTCTCTGTGCTGTGCCAGGAGCCTTTGTGTACTTGGAATGTCAGATAGAGAAGACCATCCAGTCTAGAAGCTTCTGAGGAGGTGGGAGGGAGACAGCGTCCTGTGAGCACCGGTCGAGGCCTGTGTCCGTGTAGGGGAGTGCTCATGTGCTGTGTCCGAGCACAGCAGAGCGGCCCACTGGGCTCCTGGAGGAAAGAGAAACACCAGCAACTTCCTCCGGTGTGGCCACCCTGGGCGCCATCTGGGGCACATGGGCCAGGCCACAGTGGGGCCTCCTGTCGCTCTCCTGTGGACGAGGGCCGTATCACCTGGTTGTCTGTTATGCCTCTGGCATGTGTCCTCACTGAGCCGAGAGTCAGGGTTCTGGAAGTTTTTTCGTTTTCTCCCCATGCGGAGACAATCTTGGAGCATTGGGGGCCTTTGTCTAGCTGAGCTTGGGGACACCCTGAATCCGAGGTCCTTGGTCGTGGCCCACTGTGTTTCAGGATCAAGAGGAGCCCACTCCTTGCGGGCCGAGTCCTCCAGCCAACGGCCCAGAGCCCACGGGCTCCCCTCCTCACACGTGCCCAGGTTTAGGGTGGCCAGGCCCTGGGTCGTAGCAGGGGGTGCTGCTGTCCTCGTTAGAGCTCTGGCCTCGGGTGCCCGTCCTTCTCAAGGCCCTCCTGGCATGAACATGACTGGCCTCCTCAGCCCCCAGTGTGGCGTGCCCTGTCGGAGGAGTGGGCTGCGGGCTGTGGCCTCAGTGTGGGTGTCGCCCGCCTGGGCCCTGTGGTCAGCAGTACCCTTCCCAGGGCCTGGACGGGAAGCCTCAGGACGTGCCCTCATCCTTGGCCAATCCCTGTAGCTTCTAACACAGCTGCTGAAGCCGCTTCTGGTTTTCCAGATTCCGAGGTGGCCTGAATGTGACCTTGGCGCTTCCAACTCAGGAGAGCCTGTGCCTGCCGCTTTCCTTGCCGCTCCCAGCTGCTTTGGGCTCTAGTTCTGAGGAGGGCCAAGCGCCCCCCACATTCCCGTTCCTACGAGAGAGGGATGGGATGGGTCCCCCCACGTCCCCTTACAAGACGTTTCGAGGAGGTGGAGGGCCGCCCCGCACCTGCGCAGGTGGCCGCCAGCCGCCCTCAGCCCCAGCAGCTGCATGGCCGGCACTCATGGGCCTGTGTGCGGGGAGCGTGTGCGCGAGGCCTTGGATGCTCCCCGTCATTTTGTAGGGGCCGTGCGCCTCCCCCAGGAGAGAGTGGAGGGCCCCTCCACCTGTCACTGTCCTGCTGCCTGTCCAAGAGCCTGCCTTCTGGTGGTTTCATCCTGGGCAAGGGGCCAGGTGGGCTTTTGTGGGAGCGGGGCTCCTCCGTGTTTGTGGACGGCCCTGGTGGACGTCCGGGCTCGTTGTCTCGTAGGGTGTTGCTGCTCTGGTTCCTCCCTTGTGGTGCCCTGTGGGTGGGCTTGGGGGACCTGATAGGGCCCAGACAGCCTGCGGAGCCCTGCGTTCCCCGGCCACCTGACCTGTGGTCCTATAGCGACATGCCCTCGGGCCCCTCCCAGCTCCCCTGCCGTGTGGGCCGTGCAGGGTGCTGTGTTCCTAGCGGGAGCCCCGGGGCCCGGGATGCGGTTTGCTCGGCACCACACTCTTCAGAGGCCCTCCAGGTCCCAGGCCCTCCGCGGGGCTGTTCAGCCTCCGTCCGCTGCGACCTTTGATAGGGCCCCGCAGTCTCTGACCCTGGCTGCTCCGACCTTGCACCTGGCTCAGTGCAGGGTTTGTCACAGCCCGCTCCCACCGGGGTTGGTTCTCGGGACGTGGGTTGGGTGGCTGGTGCTCCCCGTGTGGGACGTGCTGCGGCGGGCACGTGTGACTATGCACGTGTGGAAATGGGCTCGGACGCACTCTTCCAACTTCAGTGTGACACTAGTGTTTTCTTTGACTTTTCCATCTGGCTCTTTCTTCCTCACACCCAGCAGCTTCCGAGAGCGTGCACGCACCTGTGGGTTCCTCTGCACGTCTCTCTCTTCTAGAACCCAGCACGCGGAGCCACTGTGGGCTTCCTGCCACCTCGCGGGGCGGCCCAGCGGTGGGAATTCAGGGTTTGCCTTGGCCACTCAGCCTCGGCTGTGACTGAACTTGTCCGCGCAAATACGGAGCCCGCGGAGGGGGCCCGTGTCCTCGCAGCTGGTGTCCGCCCGTGGCCAGCCAGAGCCCTGGCCAGGAGCTGTGCCCAGAGCACTGTCGTCCACACGATCTGCTCTTGGGACAGACTTCCACGGGGAAGGCGCCTCCTGCCTTTGCTTTGACTTGTGGAGCGCGGAAAGGACTCGGTGGTGCTGCTGTCCCCGCCCCTGCTGTGGCTGTGCCCTGCTCTGCCGCCCTGCGCCCCACAGCCACCCCATGAGCCGTGGTGACTAGTCTTGTGTTGCAGGTGGCAGAATCGTGTCTTCGAAGCCCTTCGCACCTCTGAACTTTAGAATAAACAGCAGAAACTTGAGCGGTAAGAAGCTCACGTTGCTGAGTCAATATATGTGACTTTAAGCATCTGTGTCGGTGTGGGGTCCGTACCTGGTGCTCCTCACATCGGGCCGGTCGTTCTGTGTGGGCGTCCAGTCCTGGGGGGATGGGGGTCAGCAGCAGCCCCGGCCACACCCCCTTGGTGCCACGAGCCCCCCAGTCCTGACAGCCGCAGGCGCTCCCCGACGCAGCCCTCTGTCCCTAGCGGGGAGAGTGGCTCTGTGTGGACCTCAGAGGGGCAGGTGTGCTGAGCCCTTTGAGCTCCTGTTGTGACCGGCCTGAGCAGGCAGTGGCTACCCTGTCCCTGCTCAGGAGGGACTGGTGGCAGAAAGCTCCTGGGTGGGGCTGCACGGGCCTGGGGGCTTGGGCCTCCTGGGGGGCTGGTGGGAGGTCCTGGCTCCACATTGTTCTGAGTCATCTGCAAGTGCTCTCCGATGGCACCCGCGCCCCCCCCCCTTTCCCCGCGCTTGTCACTGTTTTCCTCGGACAAGCCCCTGGTGTGGCCCTGCAGCCTCCCTCGCTCAGCCGCGTGCTGGCAGCCGGCTGCCCCCTGGCGGGCGGTTGGGACCGGCTCTGCCCCTTCCTGCCTCACCGGGGTCACTCCGGACCGGCGGGAGAAGCACCGAGGGCCCTCCTGCTCACCCCGGGCGCAGGAGGAGCCCTAACTGTAGCCCCTTGTGTGCAGACATTGGCACCATCATGCGGGTCGTGGAGCTCTCGCCCCTGAAGGGCTCAGTGTCCTGGACGGGGAAGCCGGTCTCCTACTACCTGCACACCATCGACCGCACCATAGTGAGTGCCCTTCGGGGCTGGGGTCGGGGGCCTGGCCAGCCGGCCCTCAGTACGGGTGGAAGTGGGTCAGGAGGCTGGAGACCCTGGTCTGTCTCGCCTTTGTCCTCAGCCCTCGTGGGGGCCAGACCTTGTCCACGAGGACTCGTGGAACAGCAGCTCTGCCTTGGAGTCCGAGGCCACCGGTGCCCTGCCAGGCCTGCGGTGTGGCTGCCGGCCCATGTGGGACGGCTGTGCGGGGCCTGCACGGCCCACACGGGGGGAGCCCTGAGCCCGGCGGGTGCCCTACTAGCTGCCCACCTGGGTGATGCCCCGCCGCGCTCTGCCAGGCGCAGTGTCTGCGGGACAGGCTGTTGCTCTCACCCCTAACAGGGCTTGGAATGGCTTCTCACGGGACTTTGTCTTGTCTTTTTGTGTTTTCAGCTTGAAAACTATTTTTCTAGTCTGAAAAATCCAAAACTCAGGGTAAGTGTGTGTTTTTCGTTCGCCTCCATGTTGTGTGCGTGCTGCTGGGGGGGGGGGTGTCCGGCTGGGAGGGGCTCAGTGCCGGGGACCAGGGGCCTGCGCACACCTGCCTCGTCTTCAGCAGCCCCGTGGCCGCAGCTCTTGCACACATTTCTGGGGAACGGGTCGAATGAGTCTCTGAAGTGGGGTTTGGTGGCGTGGTGTGCTGTGCCCAAGTGCGGGGCGGAGAGCGGCCCTCGCGCTGTCCTGATCTGAGGCCCGAGCCACAGAGGGGCTGGCATGTTCCGAGCTGCTGCCCGAGGGGAGCCGGGATCCTTGCGCCCACGTCCCTCCCGTGCCCTCGCGGCCGCTGTTCTTCTGCCTCCAGAGTCAGTGCTGTCTGGGCGTGAGTTTTTCTATTTGGTGACTCAGATAAGTATCCAAGCAGGAGAGCCCCGGCCCCGGAGACGGCTGCTCCAGCCACCGGGGGCCCCACGCCCTGCCTTCTGCATTGAAGGCACTCGGGTCGTAACGTGCTGACCAGTGCCCTCGGCCCCTGGAGCAGGGGGTCACCATCCTTCCTCTTAACGCGGTGCGGCCAGGAGTCCTCACCGGGGAGGACCACGCTGTAGTGCACACACCCCTTCAGCGTGCGGAGCGTGCCGCTAGCAGGAGGGAAGCCACGGCCGGGAGGCTTCTCCCAGCCCAGCACGAGGGTCCTGCGCCATCCACGGTTGGAAGGCCACCTGCTTTCTGACGGAGCCCTGGGGAGCGCATGCCCGCGCACGCCGTCGGGCTCCTCTGAGCCTCTGTGTCCTTGCGTGTGCGGAGGCGGGCAGAGCTCGGGCTGGTGGCCGCCTCGAGCCGGCCCCGCCGCAGACACAGCCACACTTGCCTTCCAGGAGGAGCAAGAGGCAGCTCGGCGGCGGCAGCAGCGGGAAGGCAAGAGCGCCACGACCACTCCCACCAAGGGGCCCGAGAGCAAGGCTGCCGCGCCTGCGGACGCCCCGATGGTGAGTGTGCGCCCCGCGGAGAGAGGGCTCACATGGCCCGGTGGGCCCGCCAGTGCGCCCCTGACTGCCCTGCCCCGTCTGCCAGGACTCGGGGGCCGAGGAGGAAAAAGCCGGGGCCACCACCATCAAAAAGCCGTCCCCCTCCAAAGCCCGGAAAAAGAAGCTGAATAAAAAAGGGCGGAAGATGGCCGGCCGGAAGCGTGGGCGCCCCAAGAAGATGAGCACTGCGAACCCCGAGCGTAAGCCCAAGAAGAGCCAAACCGCACTGGACCTCCTGCACGCCCAGGCCGCGCCGCAGACGGCAGCGCCCTCGCCGCAGGGTGAGCCGGCCATGGGCAGACCCCTGGGGCGTGCCCTCGGCCAGTCCTGGCACCCCGTGTCTCTGCCTTGGTGCAGCGAGTGGGGTCCCTCTCCTGTCCGCTGAGGCGGTGAGAGGGGCAGAGGCCGCCGTGATGGCGTCATGTGCTGTGAGGCTGGTGCCTGCTTTCCAGACCCTGCTAGGGGCACACGGCATCCTCATGGCCATGTGCCCTGGGGTGGGCTCCCCGAGAGCGCACCCCGGTGGGGCCTTCCCATCATCCTACCCCCGGGCTCTGGGCTCCCCTGGCCTCCCATCCTGGGCTCTGATGACAGACCGCACACAAGGGACATGGCTTATGGGGACATCTTGGGTGCCACGGGGCTTTGACTCCGCTTCTCAAAGCGCTGCGACGCAGTGTCTGGTCCCCCGTTCAGTCTCGGTGTGAGCAAGCTGGCCGGTTCCCTGGAGCAGACCTGTGGAAGCTCCCAGGCACGCCGGCCTGCCGTTGACACGTGGCCTCTCTGTGTCCTACAGACGCGTACAAGTCACCTCATAGCCCGTTTTACCAGCTACCTCCCAGCGTGCAGCGGCGCCCCCCCGACCAGCTGCTGCTGGCTCCCACCCCGCCCGCACTGCAGAAGCTGCTAGGTGAGCTGACCACGGACCGCTCGGGCCTGCAGGGGTGGGGGAGGGCTGCCGGCCCCAGACCAGAGTCACACGGACTCAGGGCTGGCGTGATCTCCCTAGCACGTGGGACGCCCCCAGAGAACCACCCAGCCCCACCCCGTGTCTGCTGCATGGGGTGGGGAGGGCCATGTCGGGCGAGCTCGGTGCCCAGTGTCGCTGAGCCGAGTGCGCACAGACTCACCCTGCTAGGAAGGATCAAGCAGTTGCTTGTCTCTGAAAATCGGATGAAAGAAACGCTTTTTCATCTTTTGGGAGCTGCCGGTTTTCTCAGTTCAGCATCAGTAACCTGCGCTTCCCTAAGCAAACGGGCACCCACGTGGTGTCGGAGGGCAAAAGACATGGGGTGGCGCTGGCAGGAGCTGTGAGGGGCACCTAGGTGGGGACCAAAGGCCCCGGCGTGATGGTGGGCGGTGAGACAGGCACCACAGCAGCCAGCGGGGTTGGCAGCCGCCACGGTGGGTTTCTGAAGGGCGGCCCTCCTCCTTCCTGCTGGCCTCGGGGGCTCGTGTGTGTGCTAAGCTGCATACTTGATCCTCGTAGAGTCCTTCAAGATTCAGTACTTGCAGTTCTTGGCCTACACCAAGACCGCCCAGTATAAGGCCAGCCTGCAGCAGCTGCTGGACCAGGAGAAGGTGAGCCCTGCCCTGTGCCCCTCACCTGCTGGCCGCCAGAAGGCGCCTTGGCCCTAGGAGAAGCGGCAGTCCCTTCAAGGGCCTGTGCATTGTCCCTGCTGGCTCCAGAGAGGCCGTGGGGGTCTCGCGTAACCAGTGAGAACTGCTGAGGGTCATCGGCCTTCTGGGCTGGGGCACGTCCGGCTCTTTGTGGGAGGGGACATGGCAGGGACAGGGCCTTGCCGTCACCTTGCTGCGTCCCCCAGGAGAAGAACGCCCGGTTGCTGGGCGCCGCGCAGCAGCTGTTTGGCCACTGCCAGGCCCAGAAGGAGGAGATCAAGAGGCTCTTCCAGCAGAAGCTGGACGAGGTGGGGTGCTGGGACTATGCCCGCCGCTGGGCCTCCTGGGGCGGGATGCGGGCGCGGGGGGTTCCTTCCCGGTGTTTGGACTTACCGCGTCTGCTGACAGAGGGCGTGGAGTGTACGTAGTTGCAGCGCTGCTGGTGTGGGTTCGTGCCCTGGGGTCGTCCTTGTCCCTTCTCTGGGCCACCATAGGTCCTCTCTGCGACCGCCATCGGCCACCAGCCCAGCCCGCCCCTTCCTGCCCCCAGACGGCCCCCAGCCCCCCATCCCCTCATCCCCTGCCCTCAGCCTGCTGCTGCGCGCTCCGGCCTGAGAGCCCACCTCTGCTGTCGTGTGTCCGCAGCTGGGAGTGAAGGCGCTGACCTACAACGACCTGATCCAGGCGCAGAAGGAGATCTCGGCCCACAACCAGCAGCTGCGGGAGCAGACGGAGCAGCTGCAAAAGGACAATGGGGAGCTGAGGACGCAGAGCCTGCGGCTGGTGGGGGCGCGGCGACGGCGGCGGGGGCGGGCATGCGGGGGGCGGGCACGGGGGGGGCGCCGGGACGGAGAGGGTCCAGGCATCCTTCTCGAGGATCAGTTTGCCACGACCCCCTAGTCTGCAGTGGGCCGTTTCAGGACCCCCTACCGCCAGCCTGCCCGCATCCCCAGTTCGTTCCTTTCCCAGGCTCTTAGCACCCTGGAGCCCACGGGGCCCACGACCCTTCCAAAGGCTCATGCGCTTTCACTCGATGGAGCTTTCCAGGAGCCCAGACTTTGATATCCTCCTGGCACCCCTACAGCCCCATGCTGGTCTCTTTGACGAGCCCTAGGGCCAGGGGGCACATGTCCTGGGACCTCACTGCCCTGGAGACCAGGGCACGTTTGCTGGGCGTGCGGGAGCGTCACGTCTGATGGAGCCTTCCTGTCCCATTCTGTGGGCACCCTCGCCTTGCTCCCCGTGGGCGTGCTTACCGAGGAGCCCGGTTTCTACCCTGGGCTGCCTCCCAGCCTGGCCTTCTCTTAGTGGGTTCCCTTGCCGGACACACAGGTGTTCAGAGACACCTGCCCAGACATTGGCTGGGTCTCCCTTCAGAGCCCAGGGTCTGCCTTCTGCCGAGCGGACAGGTGCCCCCCCAACAGCGGTGCGTGCTCCACGGCAAAGGTCTGCCTGGCCAGGACTCACAACCGTGACCTCCTCATCCCCACAGCTCAAGGCTCGGTGTGAAGAGCTGAAGCTGGACTGGTCCACGCTGTCCCTGGAGAACCTGCTGAAGGAGAAGCAGGCCCTGAGGACCCAGATCTCCGAGAAGCAGAGGCACTGTCTGGAGCTGCAGGTGGGGGCAAGCGCCGCGGAGGCCCCTGCACTCCCGGGGCAGTGCTGCCGGCCGCCCCCGCCAGGCTGTCCTGCTCCCGGGCCAGGCCGTTGGTCGTGGTATTGGAAAGCAGCCTGGACGTCCCGTGTCTGGCCTTCAGAGGGGAGCAGAGGCCTGGCCACCGCGGGGCTCTGCTTGCTCCAAGGCGTCTCGGGCTCCTTGGCGACCCAGCATTTCGCCTGTGCCTCTCAGTGAGTCACTCGTGAAGCTGCCGTGAGGAGGCCGGTGTTTGCACAGTAGATCCCGGGAGCTGCCCCTCTGCCGAGAAGGGTAGCGTGTGTGTCAGGGTCCGGCGGGAAGCAGGGCAGGAGGGAAGGAGAAACGGACGGTCTCTCTCCTGTCCCGGTTTCCCGGAGTTAGCCGGCTGGGTGTGTGGCCTTCCGGTGACCACAGGACCATAGCACGGTGTGCGGTGTGGGCATCGGTGGCACCGGCAAGCTCTGTTTTTGCAAGGCTGTGGCCCTGTTGGGCTGGCGTCTCCCCCGCCTGGCTTTACCGCTCACGGGAAGCTGCTCACCAGCCCTCGGGGTCTTCCGAGTGTTGTTTTGTTACAAAACGACGCCGCAATGAATTGTTTCGCACGGAAGACTCCGGTTAAGGGTGTTTCTTAAAGACCTGCTCTCCAAAGCGGGTCTGTGAGTGGTGTGAGGTCCCGGGGTCCGGGCCACCTGCCCTCTGAAGGGCCATGACTCCGGGGAGCCCGGCACAGAGGAGGTTTGCCGACCCCGTTGGCCCAGCGAGGCCTTGCTTCTGTGCTGTTGTGTGTGAGCGGCCGCTAGGCTGCTAACCCCTCTGTGCAGTAACGGCACGTTCGTGAGGGGCGAACCACAAAGCAGAGAGACCGGTGAGAAAATCCCCGGAGCCCTGCGCGATGGGAGGGAAGCCCACAGCCACGGTTTTCGCCGCCGGTTTATATGTAGGCTCCTTCAGCACAGACGGGGTCCCAGCTCCCCGTTCCTGTCCCCCAAGCGCACGTCGGCGGAACGCCCTGGACGCCAGCTGTTCTGTCTGGTGTCCCCGGAGCTTCCTGCCCCGTGCCGGGCCGTTGGCTTCCGCATCACCCCCAAAGCCGATCTGTGTCTTTGCAGGCCCTCCGGGGCTGTGTCCGTCTGCGTTGGCTGGGTGGCCGGGTGGGGCGCGTCCGGGGGGCCTCAGGCCCTGGGCTGAGCAGCAGCCTGAGCCTCTCCCCGCCCGGCAGATCAGCATTGTGGAGCTGGAGAAGAGCCAGCGGCGGCAGGAGCTTCTGCAGCTGAAGTCGTGCGTGCCGCCTGACGACGGCCTGTCAGCGCACCTGCGCGGGAAGGGCGCCCTGGGCCGGGAGCTGGAGGCTGAGCCTGGCCGTCTGCACCTCGACCTGGACGGCCCCAAGTTCTCACTGCCCCACTTGAGCAGCGCTAGCCCGGAGCTCTCCATGAACGGCCATGTGGCCGGCTACGAGGTGTGTGGTGCGCTGAGCCGGCCCTCGTCCAAGCAGAACACGCCCCAGTACCTGGCCTCCCCGCTGGACCAGGACGTCGTGCCCTGCACCCCGAGCCACGGTGGCCGGCCGCGGCTCGAGAAGATGGCGGGCCTGGCCTTGCCCGACTACACCCGGCTCTCCCCGGCCAAGCTGGTGCTGAGGCGGCACCTCAGCCAGGACCACGCGGCTGGCGGCAAGCCTGCGGCCGGCGAGCTGCACCCGCGGTGAGTCCACTCTGGTGCCGGAGTGGGGGCCACCTTGGGGTCTGGTGAGCCAGCACCCGGCGGTCTGGGAGAGACCCTGGGGTGTGCGCTGAGCCCGGGCCACTGGCTCTAGATGCAGACCCGAGGCTGTGGGCATCCCCAGAGGAGGAACCAGGGCTGTGTCTCGTTCCAGAGCTGAGCACGCCAAGGAGAACGGCCTTCCATACCAGAGCCCTGGCATCGCCAACGGTATCAAGCTGAGCCCTCAGGACCCGCGACCGTCGTCCCCCGCGGCCTTACAGATGACAGGGGAGAGGGGCAGCGAGAAGGTGAGAGCAGGACCTGTGTCGTGGAGGGTGTGTGGTGGGTGTCCTGAGCCAGGCCGTGGGGGGGCCGTTGTCCGTAGAGACGGGAGGGAGAGTAGAGAGTCTGTGGGGAAGTAATGGGGGGGGCTGGGATTTTAGGAGGGGGAACTGTGTCTCAGGACAAGGGACCTCCTCCTTGCTGAGGACGGGAGTGGGGGGTGGGGACGTCCCCGTGGTCCTCGGGTGGTGCTGGTGGCCTGGCGCGACTGGCCAGCAGGAGCGAGGCCGGGCTGGTGGTGTGTGTGCAGGGTGTGAAGGAGCGCGCCTACGCCAGCAGCGGGGAGGCCATCACCAGCCTTCCTGTCAGCATCCCGCTCAGCACCGTGCAGCCCAGCAAACTACCCGTCAGCATCCCCCTGGCCAGCGTGGTGCTGCCCAGCCGCGCCGAGAAGGTGGTGAGTATGCGCCGGCCGGGGGCAGTGTTGGCCCCGGGTGACTGGCCCGGGCCCTTGGGCTCCGCAGTGTGGTGTGTAGGCGAAGAGGGGGTCTCGGCGGGCTTTTTTCCCTGTGAGACCTGCTTTCTGTTGAATGGCCTGCTGATGGGTGTGGGGCATACCGCGACCCCCGAGACAGAGCCCCAGAATGTAGAGTTGGTTACAGTAACATTTTCCCATTTTCGTCTCCCAGCGTTTTTGTGGAGGGTGGTATGTTTGGGTGGAGACGGAATTGAAATCCGGATTCGGTAGAAGCGTGAAGCCCCACTCCCCTCGTCCTGTCTCACGTGTGGGCCCCCGTGGGAGCTCCGTCTTGCGTGACGCGGGCTCGGCTCTGTGTGAGTGGGGACGTGATTCGCGTTCCGTCTGCTCGGCTGACGTGCACCTTCTAGTGGCCTTTAGTTCGTTCACCAAGTTGTGCAGCCGACACCTGTCCACAGATTGTGTCACACGCGTGGATTCACACCCCGCGTGGCCTTCTGTGTCTGGTTCCCACCCTGCGCATCATGGGCTCGGGGGGCCGCACATGCGGGCACCTGACTCCTGCTGGTGGCCGGGACACTCCCCCATGTGTACAGACCACGTCGTGTTTATCTGCTCTCCTACGGGCAGACGTGTTGTTTCCACCCATGGCTGTTACGAGTCACGGTGATGTGAATGTGCGTGTACAGATGTTGTGTGGGTACGTGTCTCCATCCTGTTCCACACAGGAGTGAAATCACGGTTTGGATCACAGCTGCTGTCCCTGCTCCCTTCGTCCCCAGCCTGACATTTGCTGTTAGCAAAACAGTCCTTTGGAACAGATATCTGCCCCTCCCCTTGTCAGAACCTTCTGACCGCTGCCTGCAGTGCTCAAACCCCGAGCAGGTCGCTTCCCCTTCTGTGTGCCGGCTCCCACATACCTGCCATTCTCCCTGCCTCAGGCCCTTTGCACATCCTCTGGCTCATGTCGGGGACTCCCTCCCTGCCCTTAGTCTCCAGCCCTGGCTCATCTGACAGTGTGGACTTTTTCTTACAGAGAAGCACCCCCAGCCCTGTGTCGCAGACCCGAGAGTCCTCGTCCACACTTGAAAAGCAGATGGGCGCTAATGCCCATGGCACTGGAAGCAAAAGCCTCGCTCCAGCTCCTGCAGGTCAGACGGCTTCTCCTGCACCTGGGTCCTGCCTCCAGCCCTGCCCCCAGGGCCCAGCCCGCCCCAGCCTCTGCTGCTGCTGCTGGAAGGAGGAGGAGCTGGGGCAGGCTGGGTGGAGGGGAGGCCCCCAGATCTGGCAGGCTGGGCTCTGAGCAGGCCCATCTCCTCCTGGCCACGGGGTCAGCCCCTATGCCCTGGGGTTAGCGGCTCTAGGCTGGACCTTGGTTCACGTCAGGAGCCTCTGGCCTGAGGCATGCTGCTGTTTCCTCCTGGAGGTCAGCCGGGGCGGGCAGTGAGCCCCACTGGCTGGTGATGTCCTGGGGGAGCAGCCTGCTCTCCATCTGGGCTCTGAGGCCCCTTCAGAGACCCTGGTCATTGCTGGCAGAGGCCTCCGCAGACTACACACAGGGCCGGGTGGCCCACGCGCCTCTGCGGCAGGGGGGCTGTGTCCCAGCCACTCGGCCCTGGGGACGGTGGGCATGCCGGTGACACCAGCCCTGGGGGCTGGTCGCCAATTTGCCGCCACCTGTGTTAATGCAGGGAGGGCAGGGCCGCCTCTCGTGTCCAGCAGCTCTTCCTCTGGGGCGGGGAGGCCCGGGTCTGTGCAGGAGACGGACCTCAGTAGGGCTTCTTGCGGCGTAGGGAGCCCCTTGTGGGGGGGTGCCCAGGCTCACTTGGAGTTGTCGGGTTCCAGCACCAGGGGTCCTCACGCATCCAGAAGTGCCTGCTCTGGAGCCCCCGGGCTGGCCCAACCATGCCCAGCTCACGGGTGCTTGTCTCCCGTGCTCGGCGGAACCCACGGAGGGCGGGTTCCCGGGCGCGGAGCTTCGTGGCTGGCAGGTCCCGAGGCAGCGGCGTCCGCCCCTGACAGAGCCCGTCCTTCCCGGCAGGCTTCTACACGGGCTCCGGGGCTGTCAGCGGGGCCCTGGCAGGCAGCCCGGCCCCCCTGGCTCCCGGAGCCGAGCCCGGCGCCTTGGACGAGGTCTCAAGCTCAGGAAGCCTGTTCGCCAGCGTGGGGTCCTGTGGCTCCGCCCCGCAGCACCCGCCCCTTCTCCCACAGTCCCGCGGCTCCGCTGCGGCCTCCCCCGCCCACCCGCTCTGCGCCAGCCCGCGGCTTAGCAGCGCTGCCCAGGGCCCGCTGCCCGAGGCCAACAAAGGGGACCTTCCCTCCGAGGCCGGCGTCTCAGACCCCGAGGGCGAGGCCAAGAGGAGGATCGTCTTTACCATCTCAGCTGGCGGCGGCGCCAAACAGTCGCCTCCTGGCAAACCCAGCCCTCTGCCCACGGGCGCCCGCGGGGACAGCGGCCAGGGTCATGGGCCGGACAGCCGTAAGCGGGGCAGGAGGAAGCGGGCGGCGGCCGGGACCCCCAGCCTGAGCTCTGGCGTGTCGCCCAAGCGTCGGGCTCTGCCGTCCGTTGCCGGCCTCTTCACACAGTCTTCAGGGTCCCCGCTGAACCTCACCTCGATGGTAAGTCCAGGGCCGGCTGGGGGGCAGGGACACGGTGGGCAGGGCGGGCCAGCTCATCTGGCCCACGCAGGTGTCTCACGTGGTGTCTCACGTTCCCAGCCTGGCCAGGATGGCAGGGCCCCAGGAGCACCTGGGCCACCTTCCTCCGAGGGCAGCAAGCCGGCTCTGCCGTTGCTCAGCAGCCTGAGGTCTAGGGCAGGTCTGGGCAGCGGGGACCTGAGCAAAGCCCGCGGGTGCTGGCGCCCAGGGAGCCCGTTGACAGGCTTGTGCTGTGTCTGTGCTGGTCCCTCAGGTCAGCAACATTAACCAGCCTTTGGAAATCACGGCCATCTCGTCCCCCGAGAGCCTGAAGAGCTCCCCTGTCCCTTACCAGGACAACGACCAGCCGCCCATTCTCAAGAAGGAGAAGCCCTTGAGCCAGACCAATGGGGCCCACTACTCCCCACTGACCTCAGACGAGGAGCAGGGCTCCGAGGACGAGCCGGGCAGCGCCAGGCGAGTGGGGCCAGATGGGGTGGGCGCGGGGCGTCCATGGGCACGGCTTCTGGAAGGAAAGGCCCTCGTGATGAGGTTGCCCTCCCGGGGCAGCGTCTGGTTACCGTCAGTGGGTGCCAGGGCCCTGCCCGTGGCCTGTCCGTTGCCGTCCGCAGTGCCGTAGAGCGGCCGTGCTCGAGTAGGTGGTCCCCCCAGATCGCTCACCTTTACATGGCGAGAAGCCGGTTGGGAAGGGCCTGGGCGGTCCTCCCGCCTGAGATGTCACACCTAGGGCAGGCCAGCACCCTGGGCGTGGGGTTGCCGTGTCGCCTAGTTCCCGGTGCCTCGTTCTTGGTGCGTGTGTCACTTGGTTGGAGCAGACGGGCGTGCAGGCGGCCATGGCAGGCAGGGGCTCAAGAGAGTGGACACTGCACGTGGGGGTGTTTGAGCGAGAACAGTGTCCCCTCCTAACGTGGGACAGCGTTATTCTGTCGAACTCACGTGGCCCGTTACTTGTGTGAAGAGTGCAGCCCAGTGAGTTTGGGTATGTTCCCAGAGTTGTGCAAACATTATCAGTATCAATTCTAGAACATTCTTATGACCCCAGAGAAAGACCTGTGTCCCTTAACACTGACTCCCCAGCCCTGGCTCCCACCCTCTTCTCTCTGTGTGGACGGGACTTCTCTGGGGCCTCCTGGGAGTGGGGACCTGCAGCAACGGGTCCTTCTGGGTCTGGCTCCTCTCCCTGAGCCCCGGGTCCTCGGGGTCCGTCCGCGTGTGGCAGGGGTCAGGTCTCTTCCTTCCTGAGGCTGGACCGTGTTCCCGCGTGGGGATGGACTGCACACGCCGTAGTCATTTGTTACGTGCTGGTGGACGCCTGGGGTGTCGGGTGTTTAGCTAATGGGGTAACGCTGCTGTGAGCACCCCATGCCGCCCTCTGAAGATGTTTTCCGTTGGGGCCCCTGGCTGGCTCAGTTGGTTAGGTGTCCGACTTGATTTTGGTTCAGGTCGGGGTCTCAGGGTCCTGCGTCGGGCTCGCTCTCCTCCCTCTGCCCCTCCCCTGCTCATGCACCACGCATGCCTGTGCTCGCTCTCTTTTCTCAAATAAGCGAGTAAGTCTTGAAAAAAAGAGAAGAAAATATTTTCAGTCTCCCAGGTGTGGAACCGCTGGGCCAGACGGCGACTCTGTGTCTAATGTTCCAAGGAACCTTCCCCAGCAGCCGTCTTCACGTGCCCCATTGGCGGGAGGGAGCCAGTGTTGCCACGCTCTCCCGGCTCCCATTCCTGTCTGGTTTTGTTTCCTAACGCAATAGCCGTTCCCAGGGGTTTGGGGGTCTCACCGGCGCTCTGAGCGTCCTTGCACTCTGACCAGGGGCGTGGAGCGTCTGCTCGTGGCTCACGGCCGGGTGTGTGTGTCCTTGGAGAGACGTTGTTCCGGTCCTGCCTTGTCAGGCTGTAGGAGTTCTCTCCTGTGCGGACGGGCGGTCTCTTATGTGACGCCTGCTCCGTGAATGTCCTCGGGTCTCTAGGTCTGTCACCTCACGTTCTCGCAGGTGTCTGAAGGACAGGAGTGTTGGGTCTTGGTCCGGTCTCGTTTCTCTCCGTCTTTTTTCCTTGCCCACGCCCAGCGGCTGGTCTAGGCTCGTTCATCTTGTTTTTCTTCTATAGACGTAAATTACGTTTTTAGAAGTTTTATACTCGAGTGCTTTTCTTTCTTTCTTTTTTTTTTTTTTTTAAGATTTTATTTATTTATTTGACAGAGATCACAAGCAGGCAGAGAAGCAGGCAGAGAGAGAGGAGGAAGCAGGCTCCCTGCTGAGCAGAGAGCCCGATGCGGGGCTCGATCCCAGGCCTCTGGGATCATGACCTGAGCTGAAGGCAGAGGCTTTAACCCACTGAGCCACCCAGGTGCCCTCGAGTGCTTTTCTTTTGTGTTGGGAATGTCCAGCCTCTCCGTTTCCAAATTCTTTGGGTCAGTTTTCTTGTGTTTCTGGAGGTCATGGTGTTCTTCGGGACGTGCCGTGGAAGCATGGGCACGTAGCGTGTACTGTTCTGTGGTCTGGCATGTGCCATGCGCTCCGTGTCATGTGGGTGACACGCCATTGTTGACATGGTGCTTGGAGCTATTGTGAGCCTCGGGCATGACACAGAGCTGGCTCCAGCTGGGACTTTGGGCGTCTCTCTGTGTTGCGATGTGACGCCCCCGTTCCCAAACTCTCAGCTTCGTCCCCCTCCTGCAGTCAGGATCCCACTCCCCACCAGGGGCTCGGGCTCTGCCCGGCAGTCACAGTCCCCTCTAGAGAAGTCTGCGGGCAGGTGGGCTGGGCAGTCAGTGTACAAATGGATTTCAAACCTCCGTCATCTATTTTTTTCTTGATAGAATTGAGAGGAAAATTGCAACCATCTCCTTAGAAAGCAAATCTCCTCCAAAAACCTTGGAAAGTGGTGAGTGGCTATGTGCCCTTCCTTGTAACTCCCAGGCTCAAGGTGACCTGGCCCCAGGGTGTGGCCTCAACCCTCAGGACCACCCACGCTGGGTTTCTAGAATTGTCTCTGGGTGATGTCGAATGCCACCCGTGTCCCCATGACAGCTGGTCTCGATACTGCCAGGCGGCAGTCCGTCGCCTGCTGGTCGAACTGGGCCAGCGTCTGACACTCTCTGCGAGCACGCTGACGCCCCTCAGCCCGCCCACAGACCCTCCAGTCTCCGGCTCCCCATCCCGTCCCACCTCGCCCCGCTTGGCCGCCTGATCCCCCAGCAGGGGCACGTGTGGACACTAGCACACTTCCCTCGGGCGGGAGGGGCTGGCTCTGAGCCCTGGGCCTTACCGGCTCTGGTTCTCATCAGGTGGTGGCCTGACCGGGAGGAAGCCGGCGCCTGCCAGCGAGCCCGCCAACAGCAGCAAGTGGAAATCCACCTTCTCGCCCATCTCCGACCTCGGCCTGGCCAAGTGCGCCGACAGCCCGCTGCAGGCCAGCTCCGCCCTGAGCCAGAACTCCCTGTTCACTTTCCGGCCACCCCTAGAGGAGCCTGGCCTGGCCGATGCCAAGCTGGCTGCCCACCCGAGGAAGGGCTTTCCCGGTGCCCTGGCGGGGTCCGGGGGACTAAGCCCCAGCAGCAACCCTCCCAACGGCTTCGCCTTCAGCGGGGGCCTGACCGCCGACCTCAGTTTACACAGCTTCAGCGATGGTGCTTCTCTCTCCCACAAGATCCCGGAGGCGGCCAGCCTGAGCGGCCCCCTGAGCTTTCCCACCCCGCGGGGCAAGGAGGGTGCCGCTGCAGAGCCCGGCACCTTCGTGAACAAGAGGCAGCTGGACGGACTGAGTGGCCCCAAGGGCAGAGAGGCGGGCGAGCCGGGCCTCCCAGCATGTGGGCCCCCAGACAAGGCCTCGCTGACGCACAGCAAGCCGGGCAAGGGCCGGGACCGCGAGCCCGACTTGAAGAATGGCCACAACCTCTTCATTTCTGCCGCCACGGTGCCTCCCGGGGGCCTTCTCAGCGGCCCGGGCCTCGCCACAGCGGCGTCCTCGACGGTCAGCGCGGCTCCCTCAGCCCAGACACACCGCCCCTTCCTGGGCACCTTTGCCCCCGGCCCGCAGTTCGCCCTGGGTCCCATGTCCCTGCAGGCCAACCTGGGCTCGTCCGTGCTGCAGTCCCTGTTCAGCTCCGTGCCGGCCGCCGCTGGCCTGGTGCACGTCTCATCCGCCGCGACCAGACTGACCAACTCGCACGCCATGGGCAGCTTCTCCTCTGGGGTGGCAGGCGGCGCAGTTGGAGGTAGGCAGACGCGCGCCTCCCTCGTCTGAACCGCGGGTCCTGCGGGCCGCACACCGTCGCCCTCCCGGACCGTGGGGCTAATGACAACTGCTTTACAGGTTCCCTTGCAGGGCCCCCTAAGGGGCGAGAGGCTGTGCCCACCTGTCCCCTGGGGGCCACTTTGCACCTGCCACCTTGCTCCTTTTCATGAGACGCAGATGCGCCTGTGGTGTGGGCAGCGCACTCGCGCGTGAGTCGGCCTGCGCCAGGCCCTCTGGTTGTGACGGCGTCCCTTGTACCTTCAGGAGAGCTGGCGCCACAGCTAGGGCTGGGTTTCCTCCCCGTGGAGGTCGTCTGTCCCACCTGACACGGCCCACGGGCTCTGGGCCGCTTCGGGGCTGTTGCTGGGCCAGAGCGAGGGGCCACAGCAGCTGCTGTGTGGGGGCACCGTGGATGGGGGGCCCGGGCCTCCGCGGCCAGCTCCTTGCTGGGCGCAGGCGGGTCGCGGGCTGGGAGCCGGGGGGCGTGGCCCGGCACTGGCCTGCAGGGGCGTCGCACCTGGCCACCCGCGCCGTGCTGCTTGCTGCTTTGCCCCTGCCCTCGCGACGCCCACGGAGCTGCGGCCGCTGTCTGCTTCCCCGTTGTGGTGTCTCTCTGCGCTTGGCCGGACACTGCCCACCTGTTGAAGCTGAGTTTTTCTCTCCTGTTTGCAGGTGTCTTTAACCACGCGGTGCCTTCCGCCTCCGCTCGTCCGTTTGGAGCCAGTTTCGGCGGCGGGGCAGCGTGTCGCAGCGGCACGCTGGGCTTAACCGCGCTGCAGGCGGTGGCTGGCGCCCCCGCGTCTTCCTTTCAGGCCCCGCCCCCGCCCCCGCAGGGGCAGCCCGCCCTCCCCGCACCCCCTCCCCCTAACGCTGCCTTGCCTCCTGCCCCTGCGCTGCTCCCGGCTAACCCTGAGCCCGTGCTTCTGCAGAACCTTGCGTCCCTCCCGGCTAACCAGGCTTTCTTACCCGCCGCCTCTGCCGCCTCTCTGCAGCCTGCTAACGCCTCTCTGTCCGTCAAGCTCGCCTCCCTCCCGCACAAGGCCCCCCGCCCCTCCTTCACGGTGCACCACCAGCCCCTGCCCGGGCTGGCCCTGGCCCAGGCTGCGCCCGTGATCCCACAGGCCAGCTCCACGGGGCCGTCTGCCGTGTGGGTTTCCCTTGGCATGCCGCCTCCGTATGCCGCGCGCCTTGCGGGGGTTAAGCCGAGATAAAGACCTTGCTTAGCTAGACGTTCGTATTCTGTAAGGTAAGGCTAGAGCCCAACCAGGGGGCCCGTACGAGACCCTGAACTATTTGTCCTTCCTTCCGCAGAGAGTGGAGGGGCCCAGGGGACCCAGGCTGTTCTGCCTCGGGTGGAGACAGTTGTCTCTGAGAGTGCAAGGGAAGACAGCGCAGGGAGGCGAGGGAAGCTGGGCTGCCAGACAGGGCTGGCCGTGACTTCTGGCCTCCCGGGCGGCTGAGCAGCCACGGTGGGGCTCCAGGGGATGGCCGGCTCCCTCCATCTGGCCCAGCCCTTTATGGCAAGCCCGCCTGGGGCCCTGCCTAGCAGAGGTGGCCGGGAGGAGGTGGAGGAGGCCCATAGCCTGGCCCGTCTAGCTGGATGGAGCCTGCGATCGTTGTCCTCAGGCTTCATGTCTGTGGCCGCGGGGGACGGGGGCCCCCCGGGGCAGCTCAGAGCTCAGCTTTGCCGTTGGTCTGCTCCAGGGCCCCCCGCAGGCTTGTTTCCCTGAAGGCACCATTAGGGCTTTAAGAAAAGACCGCGTGTGGAGGGTTGTCCAAACTCGGTGCTCGTGCCTGTGCAGGCCCCGGGAGCCAGCGGACGCAGGGCTGTGGAGGGACAGCCTTGTCGTGATGCACAGCTCCTACTGCTCGCGGGGGTGCGGCCCGTGCTTGGCCGTGCGTGGAGTCGGCGCAGGGCAGCATAGGAAGGGCCCGTCTTTGGAAGCGGGTGGACGGTCGGCATGAGGTCTTCCAGGGGTTTCGGTCCGTGCCTTCGCTGGCCGCGTGTGGGCATTAGAGAGCGAGGTCCTGGCAGCTGCTGCTTGGCGTCCCTGGGGGTGTCCCCGGGGCCAAGGACTCAAGGAAAGGAAGCCGGGCGCTAATGGGGCACTGGGGCCGGGCCATCCTCCGCCGTCTGCCGCGTGTTTACGTGCAAACAGGCGTGGGACCGCCGGAGTCTGATGGCCTCCCGGTCAGGGCACAGGTCGGTGGACAGCCTTCCCTGAGGTCTGGGGACAGGCTGTGCCACAGTCCTCTCGGAAAAGTCCAGAAGGCAGAGCGGCTTTGGTGCGCGCGGGGGTGTCTCACGCCGTCAGAGAAGGTGTGCGGCCGGGACTGGCTTTGAAGAGCTCCGAGGTGTGCGTGTGGAAGCTCGTGCGCATCAGGCTCCTGGGCCTGGCCCACGGCGGACCGCCGCCTTCTGGTCCCCTGCCCCGTGGCTGTCACGGGAGGTCTCCGTGGGCTGGACTGGGAGCAGGGCCTGGCATGTGGCCAGGGAGGGCCTTGGTGCCCAGGCTCCTGGTGGGGGGGGGGATGGGAGGACGGGGACCTGCTGCCTCTGAGTGGACCAGGGGCGTGGCACCAGGGGTCCCTGCCAGGAGAGGCGGGGCCTGCAGCGACCATGTTCTGTCCGACTGTCCGTCCGTCTGTCTGTAGGAGGCTTTGGTTCCCTGGCCTGGGGGAAGGTCCGGGCTCCCCTGCGTGGAACACTGACGCTGTGCTGCCTTTCCTCCCGCGCGGGTCTCCGCAGGTAACTAGGATTTCTACCTCAACCGCGAGACCTATGCAAGGCCGGCCCGGCCGGTGGCCCCAGGACGGCGAGGACGGACCGCAGACAGGGACGAGGCTCTACTGTGAATCCGCACTGTGCAGACCCGCAGAGGCGCTGGGGCCCGGCCGCGGCTCATGCTGTCGATAGTTTTAGATAAAGTATTTATCGTTTTTTAAAAAGTATAAACAACTCTGACTTATTTTACTCCACCGAAGTCATAAGGCGACCCGTTGAGAAGTGTAAGTACTGTGTGTGAGAGGACCTACCTACCGACGTCCCGGAGGCCCGCCTGCCGCCGCGCCGGCCGCCGTCCCGGTGCTATCTCCACGCGGGCCTTGGCCCGCTTGCGCTCTTGGTGCTGACTGGAGGTTGAGCAACGCCAAACCAGGCCGTGAGGCGCCTGCCCTATTTATTCCCGCCGCTCTTCCTATACCAAAGGCACGGCCGTCTCCAGGCAGAGGGTGGCTGGCTCTGTCGTGACATTCCTCAGAAAAGGCCCTGTCCCCGAGGGGGCGCCCGCCCCCACCCCATCACTGTGAACGGCTCCTGCAGACTGGTGGCCGCTCGGGCCTGGCGTCGGCGCCTTTGGCATAGGAACGGCCGGCGGGCGCGGGCCCGGTCAGAGCCTCCCCTGTCGTGCGCGGCCCCGTTCTGGGTGGTGCTTGAGGAAGGGCTGGTACCCGACCCCAGCGGCAGCGGGCCCGGTGCAGCAAGTGCATTTACTTTGGTTCCGCTCGGCTCGGGCTCCCCCCTGCGGTCCGCCGGAGCGTGCGGCGAGCTCCCGGCACGGGCGCTGGGCAGTCAAGGGGGCTGGGCTGTCTGTACAGAAGAGAGTCACGCTGAGGAGTGACAGTATTTTATAGAGATGTGATAAAAATTTATAAATTTCATAGACTTGACTTCATATATTTTTAGATTGTATAATGCACAGTAAACTAAAGAAGAAAAAGTGAGGGGAAAACCTTTCTATTTATTCAAGTGCACACAGTGGCACGGGCCCAGGGCCGGCCCTCCGCCCCCAACTGCGTGCCCACGGTTCCTGGGGCGGAGTGCTTGGCCCCGTGCCCTGCCCGAGGCCCTCTGGCCCTTCCCTGCTGCTCCGCTGCAGCCCCACCCGCCCTGCAGCCGCTGTGATGGTGCCTGGGAGTGAAGGTGCTGGGAGTGGGTGCTGGGAGTGAAGGTGCTTGGTAGTGAGTGCCCCTCCCTGCATTCACCGGCCAGGGCAGAGCCGGGAGAGCTGTCCAGATGCTTCCAGAAAGTGCCAGCAGGATTCTCCAGCTCCTCCAGCGTAACAGTCTGACCAGCGTCATGTCTGTGCGCAGTCTTCAAAAGGGTGCGTCCAGAAGTCCCCAGGCCCCTGAAAGGGCGAAGTCAGCCAAGGTCCTGGCAGGGGGCCCTGGACCCCAAGATGGGTGCTTTAGGAAGGGCTGAGCTGGTGAGGTAGGAGCCCTGTTCTCAGGTGCTTGCACCCACCGAGGAACACCGGGAACTTGCCTCTTCCCAGAGGTGGGCTGTGCATCACGGGTGGGCCCTGAGCTCCTGCCTGGGGAGGGTCAGGGCACCAGGCCGGCCTGGCCTGCTTCCTCCTGATCCCCACTCTCCTGAGGGGCAGGCAGATGCCTTGAGGCACGCGGGCCAAAGAAGGCCACCGCAGGGCCCTTTCCGGCCTGCAGCCGCCTCCTGAAAGCAGACTGATCCGTGCGGCGCAGGTCTGGCCGTCGGCGGCTCCCTGGTTCCCCCAGGCAGGGGCCTGCCAGAGCTCTGCTTTCCTGCCTGCCCTGGGGGTGGCCCAGAGCAATAGTTGAGGCAGAAGATGGTGCTCGTGATGGGTTCTTGAAACTGGCCCGTCCTTCCGTAACTGGCCGCCCTGGCTCCTGCCCTCTGGGTTGGTGCTCCCGGCGCATGAAGGTGCTGTGCCTCTCCCCTGTGAACCCAAACCCCCGCCCCCCAGGACAGGGCAGTGTTTGCTCCCCCCCATCAGGCGCACAGGGCTCCCTGAAAAGATATAGGGTGGATGGCAGAGGTCATACAGGAGTCCCCGGGGTAGAACAGAGCAGCCCTGTCCAGGCACACGGCACGTCACCTCCGGGGGGGCCTCCTGCGGACGTGCTGTACCGAGTCTCCCAGCACAGACACTCGTGTGGAGACACGGTCCCTGGTGTGAGGCAGGTGGCACGTGGGGGCCACTTCAGGGAAGTCTGCGGGTCACAGGTGGCTCTGCTCAGGAAAACCTAACCATGAACACGGCCCTCCCGGGCAGCTGGCCGGGCCTTGCAGCTATGGACTGTGATTTCTCCAAGGCTCCCGTGCCCCTCTATACCCACCCCACCTGCCCTCATTCCCACAGTCCAGCCACACTGGTTTGTCTCCCACGTTTCTTGACCTTGATTTGTAACTCCCGACGGGGCTTTGCTTTTGTGTTTCTGGTAGACTGTGTCTCAGTTGGGGGTGCTGGGCTGCTGGCTTGACCCTCTTCTAAGAGAACGCCAATGCATTCTGCGTTTCCACCTCTAGACGCTGTAATAAAATACTTGTTTTCACTTGAACCTGGTCTGCTCGCAGCATTTCTTTCTGACTGTGATGCAAGGAGAGGCATGAGGGCCAGGGGCCACGCTCCCCACTCCCCAAGCCGGGAGGACAAGGACTGGCAGCGGGAGCCTGGCAAGCTCCTTCAGGCAGTCATGGGACCAAGGCCCACAGCAAGCACCCGCCTCAGGGAGGCCCAGCCCCTCCTGAACGCACACCTGATTAGGTCAGGCCCACCAGGATACCTCTCACGGGTGTTATGTTGTTTTTTTTTTTTTTAACAAACCAATTTAGGACTCCTAAGGTTTGCAGAACCCTTTCCAGAGTCGTGCCTGTACTCAAAGGGAGGCCTAGGAACTGGGGTCACAGGTCATCCTTGGTTTCAATCAGACCACCCTTCTGTTGTCTCCTGGGGCCTAGTCAGCACCACAGGCCCCATGGGCCAAGCAAAGTCCCAGACTCCATGCCTCAACCTGAGCTGATTCCAGGTCTCTGTGCCTCTCCTGGAGCAGCCCTGCCTCACTCCAACCACCTCGGAGCAGCAGCCCTCCCCGCATTCACCGCAGCACCATCCCACGTGGAAAAGAGGTCCCTTTATTTGAGTACAAAAAGCACGCTGGCCTGAGAGTGAAGGCGTCCTGCTCCGCCCGGAAGCATCGGCCAGAGCCTGCCCCAGCGGCAGGAGAATTCACAGTGGCTCCGGGAGGCGCGGCCCCCCACGTCCTTCACAGCATCGTCTAGCTACGTACATTCAGTCTGCACAGGGCAGAAGGGGTACACCAGCCTCAGAGGCCCCGGATGGATGGACCCGAGGGGCTGGCTGCAGCTTCTAGGAGTGGACACTTGTCCCCCGGTAGCAGCATGGGGCACCCAATAGGTGCCAGACCAGTCCAGGTCGGGGGTGGCGTGTTCCCGGGTTGTTTTTCCAACCTGCCCCTGCCCACCCCCACCAATCTTGGACTTTCGAAGTCTTTAAGCCAAGCACCTGCAGCAGGAAATCCAGGCTTGACCAAGAAACCCAGGGTGCGGAGAGGATGGGGAGGTCTTCTTCCAGACTCAGGCCTTCAAGCCACCCAGCTTGAACCTGGCCTCCTCAGATATGCCGAACTGCTCCAGGGGGTCCTGTGTGGGTGAAGGGACAGCATGAGCCCAGGCCCCTGAGGGCCCTGCCCCGCCCCCATGCCCGGCTCCCACCCCTGGCCCCCAGACCCTCCGTGCACCTTGCCAGTCATCTTCTGGATCTCGTTTCTGTAGAATATGAGGCTTCTCCGCATGAACTCGTAGCTGGGAGAGCAAGTGGCACGTGTTCACAGAGCCCTGCTGTGCTCCCGCCCCAGACCCCCCCCAGGCAGGCCCACACCCCACCTGGCTCGCCGCAGAGCCCCCATCCACTCCTGACACTGCTCCTCACTGCAGCAGGCAAAGTGATACTTCCTCTCAGGGTCCTCCAGGAAGCCTGCAGAGGGAGCAGCCCCCGTCCGTTCCCGCTCACTGCCCCGCCCCACCCCACCCAGAGCCCGCCACAGGCCTCAGCTTCCTGTTGCCTCTGTCCAAGTGTCCCCTCCTCCAGTCCAAGGCCAGGCTCATCCCTTCCCACCAGCCGTGCTGGGATCTGAACTGTGTCCTCAAGTCCGTACGTTCAAGTCCTAACCCCTAGATCCTAAAAATGCGGCCCTACCTGCATACAGGACGATTACCGATACGACTACTCAGAGAAGATCAACTGGGAGCAGGTGGGCACCAACCCTGATCCCACCAGGAACGATTCAACAAAGGCAAAGAGCCCCTTGGACTGCCGGCGGCCCCCAGGAGCCAGGATGGCCTGGGGAAGCGTCCCCTGGCTAGGAACCACCCCTGCAGACACCCTGTTGGAGGACTTGTGCCCTCCCGGACGGGGCGAGCACACGTTTCTCTCGTTTGAGCGCCACACCAGAAAATCGGCCGACTCCGCCGCTCTCAAGACGACCCCGGGGGGATCCTCCGCAGGACCCCAGACAGTGCAGTGCTTCCCAGCAAGAGAGACCGTCCTAGAGGAACTGCGGCTGCAGCTAGAAAGGGGTTGCGCCCCAGAGGAAGAGCCGGGCCCGCCCTCCGGCCGCCCGAGGCAGTGGACTTCGCTCCAGGCCGACGGACGCCGCCGCGGGGCCCGGGAGGGGAAGGGCAGGGCCGGGCACTCACTGATGGAGAAGCCGCTGGGCTCCTCCTGGGTGACTCTGCAGCGCTCCAGCAGCAGGGCTCCGACGGGCTGCGGGCAGACGGGACGAGGGCGTGGGTGGGGACGGGCCTCCGCGGGGACCCCGACACGCCCCGCCCCCGGGCCCCAGCTCAGCCCCGCCCCCCGCGCCGACCCGGACCCCGACCGGAACCCCGCCCCGCCCCGCCGGCCCGCGACCCGGCCCCGCCCCCCGCTGGGCCACGGCCCCCGGCCCCGACCCTCGGCTCCGGACCCCCGCCCGCCGGCCCACCTCGGCCTCGTCCGTCCGGAAGTAGAAGAGGAAGTTGACCACCAGCTTCACAAGCCGCCTTTTCAGCACTGCGGGCACAGAGCGGGCTCATTCGGGCTCGCGGCCGCCCAGCCCCCCCGGCCCGCCCGGCCCGCCCGGCTCGGCGCCCCGGCCCGCTCACCGCTGCCTTTCTTGGGACCCCGCATGCCCAGCTCGGCCGCCAGCTCGGCCGGCTGCCGGGACAGCGCCTGCAGCTCCTTCTCGTTGTAGCGCATGGCGCCGCCGAGACCTACACCGCGGAGCGCGAACCGCGCCCTCCCGGCCGCCGTCCCCACTCGCGCCAAAAAGGTCGCACAGCGCCGTCCCGGAAGCGCTGCCGGAGCCACTGCGCTTGCGCGCCCCCGAGCCACGCATTCTGCGGGTCGCCAACTAGCGGCGCTGGTGTCCGGGGTTGGGGGGGGGGGTCCTCGGCGCTACGCGAAGCCCGCGTGGGGCGCACGCCATACTAGACGACACGCAAGATCCTCGTAGATAAGCATGAAATAAGCTGGATCCGGGGTGGGAACAGAGGAAGGTCCCCTCACGATTGGTGGCGCCCTTTACCGACGAGTGGGAGCCGGTGAGACCTGACCCCGCGCGTTAGGCGTTGAGGGCCTGGTGCGCACGCGCACTTCGAGTTCGGCGCTCATCAGCCCCGCCCCCTTTCCTCGCGCCTCCGGCGCTTCAGGCAGAGCGAGCATGCGCACACGGGAGACCGTCCCCCCCACCCCCAGCCCGTTGGCCCCCGGAAGTGCTTACCTAGCGCGCGGGGCGCGTGCGCATAACGTATTCGTGGCTGCGGCGGGCGCCGAGAGGGAAGCAGCGCGGGGTGAGGAGAGGCGCGGGCTGGGGGCGGCGGCCCCGGGGCTCTGGCTTCCCGGGACCGCAGCGGACTTGGGTTGAGAGGCCGGCGGGGTCGGGCCGGGGGCGCGGCGCGCGGGAGCCGCGGGGCCCGCCACTGGGCCGCACCGCTTCGCCGCGCTCGCTCCTCCCCTCTGCGCCGCGAGCTGGTGGGGGGCTGGGCCGCGGCGGGTGGGCCTCGGGCGGGCGGGCGGATTCGCGCTGGTGCTCGCGCCGGTGTTGGCGCCCCGGCGGGGGTCCCGCGTGCGCTGCTCTGCCGCCGCCCCGCCCGCGCCGAGCCTGTCGGCGTCGCTCCTCGGTTGGCCCGGGGTGGGGGGTTGGTCTCCCTGGCCGCTCTCCGCACCCGCCGTCCCGGCCGCTGTGTACCCCTGCTCAGCTGCGTTGGGAGGATCTTGTTACGGAGAGAGCGAGAGCGGGAGGGAGGACAGCTGCGGGCCGAGCGGGGAGCCGCGCGCGGGGCTCGACCCCGGGCCCGGGACCATGGCTGAGGGCCCCCCCCCGGCGCCCCGCACTTTTCATCGTCGGGAACAGATCGATGGCTTCCTGGGTCTCTTGTCCCCGCCGTCGCCGCAGACGCCCCCGCAGGGGCCTCAGCTCGGGTTGCAGGGGGCAGCCTACCCGCCTCCCGGAGCCATTCGTGCGCTCCCGAGTCTGCTTCTGTGCTCAACGGGCCGTCCAGCGGTGCCCCCGGCGGCTGTTGGGGTCGGGGACTGACTTCGCGGCTTGGTTTCCTGTGCCCCTGCAGCACCGAGGTCGGGCGGAACCGCCGTGAAACTGGCAAAGGGGTGCGCGGCCCGCGGAACGCTGGGGAGAAGTCGGACTCCCTCTAGGCTGCCCGCTCCTTGCTCCTGGTGGTTTTCTTTCTTGTTAGAAACGGGGAGTTTCCCGGTGTGGTGAGCTCCCCTGCTTGTTCCGTTGGCGGGACCACATCTCTCAGCAAGGAGATGGCTCAGCTCCGCGCTGTGACCCTGTGGGGGGACGCTCCCGGGTTTCTGGATGCTTCCACGCTTCTTGCTGTTCCTGCTCTGAAATCTCATCTGGGTTCTGTTCTGCCTTTTGTTTCCCGGTTTTGTTCTCCTTCCGGAAAGGCTTGTTGGACTCGGACCCCAGCCCTCACGCTGGGCTCTCGTCGGGTCCTGTCTTCCCTTCCCAAGGGTTTTCGTCCCGGGTTTAACTGGCCGTGCTGACCTCTGGCTGCCGTTCCGCTTCGCGGCTGT